TTCTTCCTTCCTTCTGGTTTACCTTTCTTCCTTCCTTCTGGTTTACCTTTCTTCCTTCCTTCTGGTTTACCTTTCTTCCTTCCTTCTGGTTTACCTTTCTTCCTTCCTTCTGGTTTACCTTTCTTCCTTCCTTCTGGTTTACCTTTCTTCCTTCCTTCTGGTTTACCTTTCTTCCTTCCTTCTGGTTTACCTTTCTTCCTTCCTTCTGGTTTACCTTTCTTCCTTCCTTCTGGTTTACCTTTCTTCCTTCCTTCTGGTTTACCTTTCTTCCTTCCTTCTGGTTTACCTTTCTTCCTTCCTTCTGGTTTACCTTTCTTCCTTCCTTCTGGTTTACCTTTCTTCCTTCCTTCTGGTTTACCTTTCTTCCTTCCTTCTGGTTACCTTTCTTCCTTCCTTCTGGTTTACCTTTCTTCCTTCCTTCTGGTTTACCTTTCTTCCTTCCTTCTGGTTTACCTTTCTTCCTTCCTTCTGGTTTACCTTTCTTCCTTCCTTCTGGTTTACCTTTCTTCCTTCCTTCTGGTTTACCTTCTTCCTTCCTTCTGGTTTACCTTTCTTCCTTCCTTCTGGTTTACCTTTCTTCCTTCCTTCTGGTTTACCTTTCTTCCTTCCTTCTGGTTTACCTTTCTTCCTTCCTTCTGGTTTACCTTTCTTCCTTCCTTCTGGTTTACCTTTCTTCCTTCCTTCTGGTTTACCTTTCTTCCTTCCTTCTGGTTTACCTTTCTTCCTTCCTTCTGGTTTACCTTTCTTCCTTCCTTCTGGTTTACCTTTCTTCCTTCCTTCTGGTTTACCTTTCTTCCTTCCTTCTGGTTTACCTTCTTCCTTCCTTCTGGTTTACCTTTCTTCCTTCCTTCTGGTTTACCTTTCTTCCTTCCTTCTGGTTTACCTTTCTTCCTTCCTTCTGGTTTACCTTTCTTCCTTCCTTCTGGTTTACCTTTCTTCCTTCCTTCTGGTTTACCTTTCTTCCTTCCTTCTGGTTTACCTTTCTTCCTTCCTTCTGGTTTACCTTTCTTCCTTCCTTCTGGTTTACCTTTCTTCCTTCCTTCTGGTTTACCTTTCTTCCTTCCTTCTGGTTTACCTTTCTTCCTTCCTTCTGGTTTACCTTTCTTCCTTCCTTCTGGTTTACCTTTCTTCCTTCCTTCTGGTTTACCTTTCTTCCTTCCTTCTGGTTTACCTTTCTTCCTTCCTTCTGGTTTACCTTTCTTCTTCCTTCTGGTTTACCTTTCTTCCTTCCTTCTGGTTTACCTTTCTTCCTTCCTTCTGGTTTACCTTTCTTCCTTCCTTCTGGTTTACCTTTCTTCCTTCCTTCTGGTTTACCTTTCTTCCTTCCTTCTGGTTTACCTTTCTTCCTTCCTTCTGGTTTACCTTTCTTCCTTCCTTCTGGTTTACCTTCTTCCTTCCTTCTGGTTTACCTTTCTGGTTTACCTTTCTTCCTTCCTTCTGGTTTACCTTTCTTCCTTCCTTCTGGTTTACCTTTCTTCCTTCCTTCTGGTTTACCTTTCTTCCTTCCTTCTGGTTTACCTTTCTTCCTTCCTTCTGGTTTACCTTTCTTCCTTCCTTCTGGTTTACCTTTCTTCCTTCCTTCTGGTTTACCTTTCTTCCTTCCTTCTGGTTTACCTTTCTTCCTTCCTTCTGGTTTACCTTTCTTCCTTCCTTCTGGTTTACCTTTCTTCCTTCCTTCTGGTTTACCTTTCTTCCTTCCTTCTGGTTTACCTTTCTTCCTTCCTTCTGGTTTACCTTTCTTCCTTCCTTCTGGTTTACCTTTCTTCCTTCCTTCTGGTTTACCTTTCTTCCTTCCTTCTGGTTTACCTTTCTTCCTTCCTTCTGGTTTACCTTTCTTCCTTCCTTCTGGTTTACCTTTCTTCCTTCCTTCTGGTTTACCTTTCTTCCTTCCTTCTGGTTTACCTTTCTTCCTTCCTTCTGGTTTACCTTTCTTCCTTCCTTCTGGTTTACCTTTCTTCCTTCCTTCTGGTTTACCTTTCTTCCTTCCTTCTGGTTTACCTTTCTTCCTTCCTTCTGGTTTACCTTTCTTCCTTCCTTCTGGTTTACCTTTCTTCCTTCCTTCTGGTTTACCTTTCTTCCTTCCTTCTGGTTTACCTTTCTTCCTTCCTTCTGGTTTACCTTTCTTCCTTCCTTCTGGTTTACCTTTCTTCCTTCCTTCTGGTTTACCTTTCTTCCTTCCTTCTGGTTTACCTTTCTTCCTTCCTTCTGGTTTACCTTTCTTCCTTCCTTCTGGTTTACCTTTCTTCCTTCCTTCTGGTTTACCTTTCTTCCTTCCTTCTGGTTTACCTTTCTTCCTTCCTTCTGGTTTACCTTTCTTCCTTCCTTCTGGTTTACCTTTCTTCCTTCCTTCTGGTTTACCTTTCTTCCTTCCTTCTGGTTTACCTTTCTTCCTTCCTTCTGGTTTACCTTTCTTCCTTCCTTCTGGTTTACCTTTCTTCCTTCCTTCTGGTTTACCTTTCTTCCTTCCTTCTGGTTTACCTTTCTTCCTTCCTTCTGGTTTACCTTTCTTCCTTCCTTCTGGTTTACCTTTCTTCCTTCCTTCTGGTTTACCTTTCTTCCTTCCTTCTGGTTTACCTTTCTTCCTTCCTTCTGGTTTACCTTTCTTCCTTCCTTCTGGTTTACCTTTCTTCCTTCCTTCTGGTTTACCTTTCTTCCTTCCTTCTGGTTTACCTTTCTTCCTTCCTTCTGGTTTACCTTTCTTCCTTCCTTCTGGTTTACCTTTCTTCCTTCCTTCTGGTTTACCTTTCTTCCTTCCTTCTGGTTTACCTTTCTTCCTTCCTTCTGGTTTACCTTTCTTCCTTCCTTCTGGTTTACCTTTCTTCCTTCCTTCTGGTTTACCTTTCTTCCTTCCTTCTGGTTTACCTTTCTTCCTTCCTTCTGGTTTACCTTTCTTCCTTCCTTCTGGTTTACCTTTCTTCCTTCCTTCTGGTTTACCTTTCTTCCTTCCTTCTGGTTTACCTTTCTTCCTTCCTTCTGGTTTACCTTTCTTCCTTCCTTCTGGTTTACCTTTCTTCCTTCCTTCTGGTTTACCTTTCTTCCTTCCTTCTGGTTTACCTTTCTTCCTTCCTTCTGGTTTACCTTTCTTCCTTCCTTCTGGTTTACCTTTCTTCCTTCCTTCTGGTTTACCTTTCTTCCTTCCTTCTGGTTTACCTTTCTTCCTTCCTTCTGGTTTACCTTTCTTCCTTCCTTCTGGTTTACCTTTCTTCCTTCCTTCTGGTTTACCTTTCTTCCTTCCTTCTGGTTTACCTTTCTTCCTTCCTTCTGGTTTACCTTTCTTCCTTCCTTCTGGTTTACCTTTCTTCCTTCCTTCTGGTTTACCTTTCTTCCTTCCTTCTGGTTTACCTTTCTTCCTTCCTTCTGGTTTACCTTTCTTCCTTCCTTCTGGTTTACCTTTCTTCCTTCCTTCCTTCTGGTTTACCTTTCTTCCTTCCTTCTGGTTTACCTTTCTTCCTTCCTTCTGGTTTACCTTTCTTCCTTCCTTCTGGTTTACCTTTCTTCCTTCCTTCTGGTTTACCTTTCTTCCTTCCTTCTGGTTTACCTTTCTTCCTTCCTTCTGGTTTACCTTCCTTTCGTCCTTTGCCTGTTTACCTTTACCCCTTCCTTTTGTTGTTATCTGTTTACATTCTGTCCTTCCTTCCTTTCTTCTTTACCTGTTTATCTTCCTTAATTCATTCCTGTCCCCTTTCTACCTTCCTTCCCTCCATTTCTGTTTCCTTTCTTTCATTCCTGTTTATACGTCAGTTGTTTGCCTGTTACGCTTTCTGATTGCAGATGTTGAATTTCAGGTGGGAGCATCTCGTACAACTCATAGTGCAATAGGGTTCTGTGCCTGTTAATCTCAATAATTGTTTGATGTCCTGCATTATTTCTTATTTTGATGTTCGTCAGATGCTGCTGGTAATTCACTAGTAATGCATGTCTGCTCGTTTCAAAGAGTAATCTTGCTGAGCATTGTCACAAAAGGTTTAGTGGAGTACCACTATGACAGTGAAGCCATTTTGAGCTGGACTTGATCGGTCTAGATTCTTCTTTCGGATGTGCAAATTGTATTGCTTATGTCTCATTTGTTTTTTCAGTGTCTATACTATTGATTTCCCCCCCATGATAGGCTGGGAAAGCGGTAGTATAGATTTCGGTTTTGGTAAATTTGGCACATAAATTTTCGTTTTCCAAATAATGAAACATATTCATCGGTTCGTTTCGTGAATATGTTTCTGCGCACTAAAGTACATCAAAATCTAGTGCTGTCATTATCGTTTATTCGGTCACTGCGTTTCTCTGTTTTTTTTTCCAGCCACTCTCAATTTTGGAATTACGCAAATGTCGAAATTAGATTCTGCGTTAGAACCGATTAATGTACAGGAGTCCACTAAGAAATACCGTTTGAAGCATTAAGAAGGATGGCAAGATCAAACTTACTGGCATCCATTTTTATTTTTATTTTTTTTAGTGATATTTTTTCAAGAATATTTAATTCCTGAAAAAAAAAAAACAATTCCAATCGATTACAATAGGTTGCTCCGCAACCCAAAAAAAACTAAAAAAGGAAAAGAGGGTGGGAGGTAGTTTCACATCAACTCAGCCTGGCTGCTCACCGAGACACAGATCTGAGTGCCGACGACCCAGTTGGAGCCTATTTTTGAGTGGACTCAAAAATAGGGGTGTGTGTGAAGTGAGCTAGGCTGCTCACCGAGACGCAGATCTGAGTGCCGACGACCCAGTTGGAGAAGACAAGGGGTTGGTGGTGCAGCAGCTGCAGACGTCAGAGGGACAAGGGGGGAGACGAGAGACAGGCAGGCGGTTGAGAGAAGGGCAGGATCGGAATTAAAACATGAATGCTTCAACACAACATATTTCCCCAGATGTAAGCGTCTCTAGCATGAGATTTAGACTACAGAATAAAACATGCAAACGAAATGGAGGAGGTCTGGGTCTTGATCAAATTCAGTGTTTAGGAAAATAAAATGGAGAGAGGGGAGAGGGGGGAAGAGTGGTTTTACGAAGAGGAGAGCAGCAGAGTGCGAGCCGGGCTGGGCGGTGTTGAACCTGCCGAGGCCCACAAAGAGGCGGCCCCCTCTCTGCACGATGGCGCCCTCGCTGTACGGCACACTGTGGGGGTTCCACTCCGCCACGTCCCTGGTGTGGTGGAAAGGTGTCGAAAGTTGAAAAGAGTGGAAGAGGAGCAGAGGTGGGGTGTGAGTGGCAGCCCCCCGCCCCCTCGCTGCACAATGGCTCCCTCGCTGTACGGCACACTGTGAGGGTTCCACTCCGCCACGTCCCTGCATGCACGGAGACATTTAAGAGAAACGAGGGTGTGCATGCCATGGGGTTCAAAGGGCGAAAGAGCATGCAGGCGCCTCTCTCGGCCTCCGTTCGCTGCACAATGGCTCCCTCGCTTTACGGCACACTGTGGGGGTTCCACTCCGCCACGTGCCTGCATGCATGGAGACATTGGGGGCAAAGAGGGTGACGCTGGTATGCAAGCCATGGGGGAGAGCATGCATGCCATGGGGGAGAGCATGCATGCCATGGGGGAGAGCATGCATGCCATGGGGGAGAGCATGCATGCCATGGGGGAGAGCATGCATGCCATGGGGGAGAGCATGCATGCCATGGGGGAGAGCATGCATGCCATGGGGGAGAGCATGCATGCCATGGGGGAGAGCATGCATGCCATGGGGGAGAGCATGCATGCCATGGGGGAGAGCATGCAAGCCATGGGGGAGAGCATGCATGCCATGGGGGAGAGCATGCATGCCATGGGGGAGAGCATGCATGCCATGGGGGAGAGCATGCATGCCATGGGGGAGAGCATGCATGCCATGGGGGGAGAGCATGCAAGCCATGGGGGAGAGCATGCATGCCATGGGGGAGAGCATGCATGCCATGGGGGAGAGCATGCATGCCATGGGGGAGAGCATGCATGCCATGGGGGGAGCATGCATGCATGCCATGGGGGAGAGCATGCATGCCATGGGGGAGAGCATGCATGCCATGGGGGAGAGCATGCATGCCATGGGGGAGAGCATGCATGCCATGGGGGAGAGCATGCATGCCATGGGGGAGAGCATGCATGCCATGGGGGAGAGCATGCATGCCATGGGGGAGAGCATGCATGCCATGGGGGAGAGCATGCATGCCATGGGGGAGAGCATGCATGCCATGGGGGAGAGCATGCATGCCATGGGGGAGAGCATGCATGCCATGGGGGAGAGCATGCATGCCATGGGGGAGAGCATGCATGCCATGGGGGAGAGCATGCATGCCATGGGGGAGAGCATGCATGCCATGGGGGAGAGCATGCATGCCATGGGGGAGAGCATGCAATGCCATGGGGGAGAGCATGCATGCCATGGGGGAGAGCATGCATGCCATGGGGGAGAGCATGCATGCCATGGGGGAGAGCATGCATGCCATGGGGGAGAGCATGCATGCCATGGGGGAGAGCATGCAAGCCATGGGGGGAGAGCATGCATGCCATGGGGGAGAGCATGCATGCCATGGGGGAGAGCATGCATGCCATGGGGGAGAGCATGCATGCCATGGGGGAGAGCATGCATGCCATGGGGGAGAGCATGCATGCCATGGGGGAGAGCATGCATGCCATGGGGGAGAGCATGCATGCCATGGGGGAGAGCATGCATGCCATGGGGGAGAGCATGCATGCCATGGGGGAGAGCATGCATGCCATGGGGGAGAGCATGCATGCCATGGGGGAGAGCATGCATGCCATGGGGGAGAGCATGCATGCCATGGGGGAGAGCATGCATGCCATGGGGGAGAGCATGCATGCCATGGGGGAGAGCATGCATGCCATGGGGGAGAGCATGCATGCCATGGGGGAGAGCATGCATGCCATGGGGGAGAGCATGCATGCCATGGGGGAGAGCATGCATGCCATGGGGGAGAGCATGCATGCCATGGGGGAGAGCATGCATGCCATGGGGGAGAGCATGCATGCATGCAGGCAACCCTTTCACGCTCACTTGGCTGCACAACGCCACCCTCGCTCGCTGTACGTCACACTTGGCGATTCCACTCTGCCACGTCCCTGGCGCTGTGAGGTGGTGAGGAGAAGCGGAGAATCATAGGGAAGATAAGAGAAGCACAGGGGCAAAGGTGGGGAGAGGAAACGAGGACTTGTGTGAGTAACAGCCCCAGGCTCTGGCCCCATTGCTGCAGAATGGCTCCCTCACTATAATATACGGCCCGCTTGTGAGGTTCCACTCCCTCAGAATGGCTCCCTCCCTGGAAAGGTTCCACTCCACCACGTCGCTTGTGAGGAGGGGAGAAGAAGAGGAGACGAGGGGGGAGTAAGTCAAGAAACCTGTATCAGGCTCCCTCACATTCTGTACAACACACTGTGCGTGGGACTTGGCACACGCACCCGAACTCACGTCACCCACACGCACCTGCTGATGGTGAATTTTGGCACGTCCACGCGGTGCCAGCACCCCAGGTGCGCCGCCACGTACCCCCCACCTGCTCCCTGCTCAGATGGCCGCTTTAAGCCACGCAAATGAGGCTTGTCTCACCTGCTGACCCTGAAATTGGCACAGCACACAACGTACATGCACACACACACTCGCCCGCACCCACACGCACCTGCTGATGGTGAAGTTGGGCACGTCGACGCGGTGCCAGCACCCCAGGTGCGCCGCCACATACTCCACCTGCTCCCTCCGCAGCACCGCCTCCTTCATGAACAACAGCATGGCCGCCCCCACAAACGCGTACCCCAGCAGTAGGCAGCACGAGAGACGGCTCACTAGTATGTCCTCATGCATCTGAAAGACAGGTCGGGGGGACGGGGGAAGTGAGCATTAGGGGATTAAATTGAGCAGCGCAGCACAGCCTCCTTCATGAGCAACAGCACAGCCACCTCTACAAACACTTACCCCAGCAGCAGGCAGCGAGCAGCACAACAGGCGTGTATTCTGCACGCACGAGCAGAGGCAGCGACTCACACAAGTGCCATTTTTTAGGGACTTGACAAAGCACCGGCCGCATCGGCAGCTTGGGATTGCACCTCATTCCACACACTTGGGTGCTCACACACAAGCAGAGACACAAATAGGCACTTTTTTCAAGCGCATAAAAAATCGTCCCACTTGGGTATCCATGCACGAGCAGAGACAGAGACTTACATAGGTGCCTTGGATGGGGACCACGCCCACCAGGTAGCTCCCCATGCACGCCTCCACCAACACCAGCCTCATCAGCAGCTTGGGCCAGCGCCGCAGCTTGCGGGTGAAGCGCGTGAAGTCAGACGGCGATGCAGACACACTCCCACCAGCACCAGCGCCGTTGCCGCTGCCGCTGCTCCTCATGCTGCCACCTCTGCTGGCACTGCTGCTGGTGGTGAGGCTGGTGGTGGTGCTGTTGCTGCTCGTGCTGGTGCTGACAATGCCAGTACTCGCATCGCTGCTGCTAGTGCTGGTGCTCGTAATCGTGCTGCTACCATTCATGGCACCTGCCTTGCTGCCGTCACTCCCTCCCGTCCCTCCTGCCGCCTCCCCAGGCGGCTCCCCAGTGGGCATTTTTGTCTGTTGTGACGTCAGATGAACGCTCATTGGCTGGTTGCTGTTGGTTAAGTCCGGATGCAAGTTGATTGGCTGCTGGAGAGTCGTCCCGGCTCCATGAGTAATACTAGACAGTGGGTTTCGCTGTGGGACTGGGCAGTCATGTGTAGATGTGGAGGTGTGGGGAATGGAGGAGGGAGGAGCGGAGTGAGGGTGCGAGTTTACACTGGATAGATGGCTGGGGGGTTGAGGGAGGGAGGAGACGGGAGGAGGAAGGGAGGACGTGGGTTGGCTCTGAGGGAGTAGGAGCGGTTGCTGTAGGGATTGTGATGAAAGCGAAGCTGCTACTGTGGAGGATTGAAGAACAGACAGGGGGGCTGTTGCTGCTGCTGCTGCGCATGCTGCTGCTGATCCTGCTGCTGGAGGTACTGCTGCTGGTGGTGAGGTGCTTTTATCGGATGTGACAGAAGCGGGGAGGAGAGTGGCAGGGCGCAGGGAGGGGAGCGAGGAAGGAGGGGCAGAGGAAGGGGCGTCGCGGTGAAGGGACCTGATCTGGTGGTTGAGCAGAGCAACGATTATGGCGTAGCAGATGGGCCTGGTAGGGGCAAAGCGGGGATTGGGAGGGATTGGAAGGGATTGGAAGGCATTCGAGGAGATTGCAAGGACAAAATGGATTTCAGAAACATGGAGACGGGATATGAAGAATGGATGCCGCACCAACGAATGGCGCAGTGGCATGCAACAAGCACCCACGAATGGCGCAGTGGCATGCAACAAGCACCCACGAATGGCGCAGTGGCATGCAACAAGCACCCACGAATGGCGCAGTGGCATGCAACAAGCACCCACGAATGGCGCAGTGGCATGCAACAAGCACCAACGAATGGCGCAGTGGCATGCAACAAGCACCCACCACGGGCACAAATGGACACAGGCACATAACGCGACACAAGGCCAAGGCGACATAAGGCCAAGGCGACACAAGGCCAAGGCGACACGAGGCCAAGGCGATAAAGGAGCCAATAGGGGAGAAAAGACGCACGGGACGAAGAGGAGCAGCTGCGACTGCCAGGGGAGGGTGAGGGAGAGCTTGAGCGCGAGGAGAGCCACGGCCGCCACGTACAGCCCCACCTGTGATGCACAGAACAGAGAGGGGATGGGAAAGCAGCAGGGAGAGGAGGAACAGAGGCGATGAGGAAGCAGCAAAGAGGGGGCGGAGAGGGAGAGCTTGAGCGCGAGCAGAACCACGCCGCCACGTACAGCCCCACCTGTGACGCACAGAACACAGAGGGGATGGGAAAGCAGCAGGGAGAGGAGGAACAGAGGCGATGAGGAAGCAGCAAAGAGGGGGCGGAGAGGGAGAGCTTGAGCGCGAGCAGAACCACGCCGCCACGTACAGCCCCACCTGTGATGCACAGAACACAGAGGGGATGGGAAAGCAGCAGGGAGAGGAGGAACAGAGGCGATGAGGAAGCAGCAAAGAGGGGGCGGAGAGGGAGAGCTTGAGCGCGAGCAGAACCACGCCGCCACGTACAGCCCCACCTGTGATGCACAGCACACAGAGGGGATGGGAAAGCAGCAGGGAGAGGAGGAACAGAGGCGATGAGGAAGCAGCAAAGAGGGGGCGGAGAGGGAGAGCTTGAGCGCGAGCAGAACCACGCCGCCACGTACAGCCCCACCTGTGACGCACAGCACAGAGAGAGGGGATAAGAGAGGAGCGAACAGGAGAAGGGGGATAAGGGAGCAGAGTAAGACCGTTCAGAGCAGGACAATCAGACCCGCGGATGCTCCTGCTAGGCATGGAGCTGCAGAGAGGAGCGGAAAACAAGCGAAATTAAGCGAGCAAAGGAGCTTGCAACCAACAACTGCGATTCAAAGCCTAAACTGATGAGCAAGAAGCGACAAGAGAATTCAGGGTGTACCAGAAGCAGGGAGCTGCAGGTGCCAGTGACGATACCATGGGTGGGAAGACATGCTGCTCCCACTGCCCATGCCCCGAGCCTCTCCCCTGTTCAACAAGCCCCGGATCTAGCAAAGAATTCCCCTTCACTGCCGAGTCTTCTCCCAGTAAAATCTCCTTGCCTCCCCCAGGCGAGTCAAACCCTGCCCCTCCTGCACCTGCCCCTGCACAATCCACCGCACCACCTGCCCTTCCTGCGCCAATGGTGCTTCCTGCGCGTTCACCACAATTATCTGTGTGGTTGTAATTGCCAGCCTTGATAACCCCATCTCCTGCCACCATGCCGCTACCAGTCAACGGAAACGGATCCCTGGCAGCAGCAGTGGCGGCCGCAGCAGCACCACCATCAGCACCAGCACTGCCTTTATCCCCTCCGGGCCCGGCCTTGCCCTTCACCCTCCACTCCTTTGTACCGCTGCTGGCCGCTTCTTTTGCACTCCTAGCCGCAGTAGCAGCTACACTATCACCTACTCTGGCCGCTGCAGAGGACATGGCGTTGCCAGCACCGCTGGTAGACACGGCAGGTGCAAGGACGCTTTCGTTCCTCCTGCTACTCAGGAGGAAGAGTCGACTGAGGAAGCTGCTGCTAGCACTGCTGCTATTGGCCGACCGAGGTGGGGAGGCTTTATTGGCGGCAGGTGGGTGGAAGTCAATGAAACAGGCGACTATACGGCGCAGGAGAAGCAGACACACCAGAAGGGCCTGTGATGAGAGGAAGGGCGTATGGGCGTGTGAGATGGATGCACGAGAACGGGAATTCCGGAAGGTATTGGACGGATCTGCACACGTGCAGCACAGGCAACTAATGACTTACCTACTACGGGCTGCTTAATGTGCTATAACGCGGACAGCTCGCACTCACGCAGGGCCTGGCAACTGCCTTGTTATGGACTGTTATAACGGGGAGGTACTCACGACGTGGTAGTTGATATCATGCAGCGCGGAGCGGTGGAGGCAGAGCAGCTGGAAGGCGAGGAAGACACACATGTGCACAAAGAACATCGCCTCCACCCCCACCTCCCGCACACCCCCCGTCCCCATCTCCGCCCCCTTGCTGCATCCGCTGCTTCCGCTGCTGCCACCGCTGCTACTGCTGCTGCTGCTGCCGCTGCTGCTGTTGCTGCTGCTTACCCCTCTCGTGCTGCCGCCGCTGCTGCCCGGAGTCCGAATCTGCGCGGAGTCCGAATCCCCCTTCTCCACACCTGCCTTCCTGCTCGCCGCACTGACAGTCAGGCTGGAATCTCCTCTCTTAACCCCGGTAGAAACAGTCCCGATAAGCGCAGAGGCCTCGCCCTGCTGCTGCTGCTGCTGCTGCCGAGCTGGTCCGGCAGAATTAGGGTTGCTGGCGTAAGCGGAGGCGTGATGACCAGCATTGCTCTCGAGCCTATTCTTGGTCGGCTTGCGCCCTCCGCTTCCGCCTCTGGACGACGGAGAGGCGTCCCGGGGGAAGGCCGGCGGAATGGTTGCGCGGGTGGGCGACGAGGATCCATTGGCGAGCGATCGGTGGGCGTGGCGCCTGTTGGAGCTCATGGCTGGAGCAAGCAGGGGTGTCACGCGAACAGTAGGGTTTGAAAGAAGCAGAGAAGAGTGTGACTTTCGAGTTTACTCAAAGGCGCCTCTAGGAGCTCATGGCTAGAGCATGGGTTTCACGCGAACAATCGGGTACCAAACCAGCAAAAGAGAAGGTGACTTTCGAATAGACTCAAAAGGCACCTGATAAATCATGACTAGAACAGGAATTTCACGCAAACGTTGGGATTTGAGACGAGCAGGGGGAAGGATAGCAAAGAGTGGGATTCAGGAAGCGCAGGAGGAAGGATAATGATTAGAAAACAAAGGACAATATCTAAAAGGAAAAGGTACATCGTTAAGAGTGACCGTCGATTTCAAAACAGCAGTGTAGGTGAGACAGTTACAGGAGAAAATAAAACGAACAATGAAAACGCGCGCAGGTACCAGAGACGATAATGTACGGAGTTACAGCGACGGAGGGAAGACGAGAAACTAGGGTTTGATTCGCATCTAGAGATACGGCGCCAATCTGAGCAGTAATCACAACGGTGCGAGGACCTAGTAGTTAAAATTACCCCGACGTTACAAACGGTTTAGGAGACAACATGGACTCACCCGCGAAGGGATCCGACAACGCAGCGAAGCACCATGGATCGTGAAGTTACGATTAACTACTGGCCCGGCTACTGTAGCTTCACCATGAATGATAAGAAACGACGCTGATCCTTTCCTCGTGCGACTAGGATACCTTGATTCACACGCAACTGACAAAGAAAATTCCTAGGAACGTAGAAGTTGTATTCTAGCTGTGGATTTGTGATGGCTCCTAACTATTTTGGTCTAGATGATGATCTCGAGGCAAACCTCATACTACGGTTTGGCAGGCTCGCCTCAGGAATCTCTTCAGCACATCAGGTTTGGCACATTCTCTGATGGTGTTGGTCACTCTGACAGGTTCGGTATCTGATGGCTCGTTGGTTCGGCTTGGTCCTTTGAACGGCTCGATGAATCTTGTCCAATGAGGTGAGTGCATCTCCACTGTACGCATGCCGCGGTGTCAACCAGCTAGGAATGCGCAAATTCCAGTTAGAATATGATTAGTTTAAAACCGGGGTGCACATTCAGCTGAATGTGCATCAAAGGTTATCCCTTGACTGAGTGGGTTACGAGGTGTGCTTTCAACCCCTTCAAGTCGAAATTCGTTTCCCCCCTCCCCCGCAATTTCGTTTCCCCACGCCCCCGCAATTTCATTTCCCCCTCCCCGTCGAAATTCGTTTCCCCCCTCCCCCGCAATTTTGTTTCCCCCCTCCCCCGCAATTTCGTTTCCCCCCCCTCCCGCCAATCTGTTTCATCCCTCCCGCCATTCGGTTTCACCCACTCCCGCCATTTCACCCCCTCCCGCCACCTACGAAATGCCCGAAGCTCTAGCGGAATCATTTTTTTGTCGCCCCTCGTGAGCCAATCACTGTTTTTCTCCAAACCCCCTTCCCAACATCTCAAGCCGAACCGCGTTGAATGTGCACCCTGGTTTTAATGTACTGTATAATATGACAAGTTAAACGAAACAGAAATCAAACACCCATGGAAATAAGACACAACATAATTTTTTCTGGCGATTTAAGATGTTTAAGTACTTGGTAGTGTTGGAAATAGAAACATAAGGAAATATATATGCTATTAGATTTTACTGTAGTCTCCTTAATCAGGCTCAGTCCTACAATAATTGTACAATTATTGTAGGGACTTCATTATTGGAGTCCAGGGCTATTGGGGTAGAATTATTGGAGGTACCATTATTGGAGGTACAATTATTGGTGGGGATGGCTAGACTTTGGCAAGGTAGCTGCATGGATAAAAACCCTGCTGTAAGCTTTCATAATCAATCCAATTCCATTGTTCTCAATCCTTTCAGTTGCAAGTTTCTATTGCTATTTATTCTACAATCAAAGCTTCCACTACGACGGCACTATGCCTTTCTAGCATGGTATCAGAGCTACTCTAGGGGGCATGCTGCCGAAATTTGGTCATAACTCTACCATCATTCACATTGGACAGGCACGCAAGTGAATTTGCATAGCAAGTGGCAACGCTTGGATTGAAAGCATGGAGCACATCGACGATGAAGTCGATGCTGGATACGAGGCGTTTGAAGAAGCAATCTTGGCTCAACATGAGCACCTGGAGAGCATGATTGCAAGGGCATCACCGGCACTTCAAGCGTCATGAAGGGCAAAGTTCAATATGCTAAGGGCATCACACTATCCATCAAGCACTCCGCGTATTAATCAAACCCACGCTTCAAATGTGCATGCAGGAATTGAAGGTGAAGGGGAGGGAAACGTACCCTTAGGAGGAGAGTCATCCCAAGGGAAGGATGCATCCTTCCAAGGAGAGGGGAGCTCCCACCCCGAACCTCAATCAACCATGCAAAGGGAAGCAACGGGGAGGGATGATGAGTACTTGAGTGGAAGGAATGTGAGGGAACATGGGATCGGCGTGGGAAGAAACATGAGAGGGCAGATTGGTGAATAGAGTGGTAGAAGCAGTCATGTGGGCATGGAAGGTGTGGGATTCGAATCCTACACTATTGGTGCTCCCCCACTACGACGACTTGCCACTAACTCTCATCCCATTGGAGTTCCCGTAATGGGCAGATCTCACCTTTACGGCAACAACGTCGTACCTCTTCGTATGCTACAGTCTCTAACGAAAGCTGTACATGGGGGGAGCATTGGGCGCATGGGGCACGGGATGCAATCAAGTGAAGTCATGCGACATGATCAAGTGGAAGTGGTGGAACGTGAAGGCACACAGCGCACGGTACAATTACCTCGACCATCTACTGTGCCTACGCTCTTCGACCCACCTCCACGCGAGTATACCGAAGAAGACAAGGACAGGTTGTCACGCAAGATGGTGGGAGCAGCGGTGGACAAAGCGTTCACAACAACTCCGTTCGATGGCACTAACTTTCAAGAGTGGGCTCCTCGGTTTCGCATGAACGCGCGCGTGACAAACCTATGGGAGTTCTTCGTGACGCTACAATACCCGGTTACAATGGTGAATGGAGAAATGCGAGATGCAATGGAACGGCTGGAAGTTCTACAGGCAGATTACTCACGACGTGTTACGCTGGCTTTTTGGGTGCTTCTGCTTAGCATGAGCGCAACGATTCAGCTGCAACTTGACGTGTTCCAAGAGTCATACAGTCCGGCATTCGAAGCATGGGAGTACCTGATGGAGACTTACCAGGCAAAGGATTTGGTGGCAAAGGCGTATCTCCAGAGGCAATTGGACAACCTGAAGATGGGGAGCCAAGAAAGAATGGAGAAATACATCAACCGAGCAACTGCAATTCGGGACAAACTGGCAATGGCGGGAAAGATGGTGGATGAAGATTCGTTCACCTTAAATCTTATTACCGGGCTGCCACCGCATTGGAAGGAGCTGAGGCATTCGGCAATGCTACACGACATCTCGAACAGCTACACACTACAGCGAATGATGATTCAGGAACAACGCTACCAAGACCTCATTAGCAAGACCAACCGTGACAAGCATCCTCCCCGCATGGCTGGCCAAACACATGGAGGTAATTCACTAGCAAAGGAGAAGACCGAGACAAAGGGCAATCAGAATGCGGTGAAGTCAACGGGAGGGCAGTGCGCAATGGTTGGGGAGAAACTCAAGGGCAATGAAGGAAGGGGAGGGCGCTCCAACCTTGTGTACTGCAAAGAATCTGGCCACCCGTTCTACAAGTGTCCTAAGGCGCCCCCGGGCTGGTCACCACCAGGGTGGGAACCACAAAATAGAGGGAGGACAAACCAGCGCACCTGGAGTAGCCGTTCCTCCTCGCCTCGAAGGAGTGAAAGCCCCAAATGTGACAACCAAGCGTCAAAACAGCAAGGGGCAGCTGAGGGAAACAACAAACGCACCGTTACATGCGTTGCAACGGTTCGGTCGTCGCAAGCAACACATGACTTCAGAAAAACGCTGGTTTGAGGGTCTAGAGGAGCTGGACGCACCTGTATACGTGGAGCTGGCTGACCGCAGCCAACTACTGAGCTCGATGGTGGGGACAATTAGAGCAACGGCGCCCGATGGAACAATGGTCCACTACAACGACGTGCTCTATGTCCCCGGTTTGAAGTCCAACCTTCTCTCCTATTGTCAGTTGCACAAGAAGGGAGCACGGATTTATACACATGCTGACGGGCACACGGAAATTACCATGGCGGTTGGGGATGAGCATGTAAGGATTGGACTTGGAATGACCATGCATGGGGTGCTCATGGTGTAATATGAACCTGCTCTGGCATCCGCCCATGAATCCGACCATGACAATAACGATGCTGCATCAAATGACCATGGTCATGGAGGGCTCAATGCACATTCTGCTCAAGCATCCATCACGTACCGCATGGCCCACAAGCGCTTGGGTCACCCATCATACTCATCCATGGATGCCACATTTCGGATAGGAGATGTTGAAGGACTCTCCATATCCGACAAGACAAACCCCCTCAAACCCTCATTTGACTCATGTCTACGAGGGAAGATGAGCAAGGCCCCATTTTCCACAGGTGGCGACAAGCGCACAACTCGACCTTTGGAGCTCGTGCATAGCGACATCATGGACTTGGGTGACGCTCACCCCTCACTTCGCTACGTGCTGACGCTCAAGGACGACTACACCAACTACCTGTGGGTGGCGCCATTGGCTCGGCGGTCAGACATGGCAGCTGTTTTCTCGGCTTGGCATCGCGAGATGAAGATCAAGCTGTCAGAATGTTATATTGCTTACTTTGTGTAGGCTATATTGGGGTAGCCCATAAGGGGTACAACCCAATTAGGGTTATTACTTGTACCCAACTTCTGTTCAATGCATTCATTCCTCGTTCGTTAGTTTGACATGGTTTCAGAGCAAGTCCTTCGTTAGGACCGATATTTTTTTTGCCCACCACAGCGCTGCCCCACTAGCCGCCCTGCTGGCTCACGCGCCGCCCCTAGCGACCCTCGTGCCGCACCTGCTGCCCCTCGCGCCTGCCCCTTGCGGCCCGCCCGTCGACCCTAGGCCCCGCGCGCCTGCCCCTGAACGGTACAAAGCTTACAGGCAAAATAATGGTGAGAGCAAGGTAAGGTTGATACTAAGGTTCCCTCCTTGGGTGTGGCGTGCTTCGCTTTCGTTTCCATGCACGTGGCCCTGTGTGCTCATCCATGCACGTGGCCCTGTGTGTTCATCCATGCACGTGGCTCTGTGTGTTCATCCATGCACGCGGCTCTGCGTGATGTAGCTGTGCGTGCTGCCATGCCCACTCACCGCCATCCCCCCCTGTGGCCATGCAGGTGCGCACGCAGCAAGGCAGGGAGGAGGAGTGGTGCGAAGGAGGTGGCAGGGGAGGGCAGGGAGCAGCAGGGGAGGACAGGGGAGAGCAGCAAGGGATGGCGACCACTCTCACGTGCACCTCACTGAAAGCTAAGTACCCTGTCCACCCTGCTCTCGCCTGTGCTTGCTGCTCACTGCTCCCTTATCGCTGCTTTCTTTAGCTCTCTCTCTCTTCTTGAATCTTTGGTGCCACTGGTTGGAGCTCGGTTCACAAGCCACAGACCTCTCACTCACTGCAGGTAATCCCCTCAGGTTAAGACCCCCTACATCCTCACAGCCCCCTCAGGTCCCTCTCAGGTCTGTGCCTTGTGGCTGTAATCTCCTCCAGTGGCCCCTCCCCTCTTCCTCGCCTGTCTGCCTCGCCCACACTCCCCTCTTCCAGTCATTTTCCATCCGCCTTACACTCTCCCCTCCTCTCCCCCCTCCACCCTCCTCTCCCCCCGCTCACCCCTCCGCCCATCCCCCAGCAGCCCCTCTGGTGGCGAGTTCCCAGCACTCCCAGCAGCGCCTTTGGGTGGTGTGATGCGCTTCAGTGGCGGCACCACAGCAGCATCAAGGCTCAACGCGCCACCACCACTCAGAGCCGCACCAGATAAGTACACTCTCTCTTCACTCTCGCCTTTTCAGTGCTTTCGCCCTCTCACACATGCACACTCACATGCATCCGCACATCATTTTCTCCATTGTGCATGCCTCCTCTCCTCAAATCGAGCTACTTGCAGCAGCCTAGCCCACATGGTGCAGTCCCCCTATTCCAGGTATCCCTCCCCCTCCAGCCCCCAGGTTAAGCCTACCCTAAGCCCTACACGTCTACTATAGCCCACACTACCTTTGGGTCTGCACCATGTGCCTAGTGCTGCTCCAGTGGTCCCTCTGCTGCTCTCACCCGCCATCCCACCCCACTCCGCCCATGCCAACCCCTCACCCTTCTACCCTAGCCGCTTACTCACTTCGCTTCAGTTTCCTCCTTGCCGGTTGAGGGGAGGGGCGTAGGGGACAACACCGCCACTCTCCGGCGCTCCTCCCCTGGTGGCCTTGCAGGTGCCGGTGGGGCTGGGAGGGAGGCAGCAAGAAGATCTGGAGCACAGGAGGCTACCATAAGGGAGAGTATCGGGAGGGGTTTGGCCTTCACAGGTAAGCCCCTGCTTTGCTCTTCAACACTCCCGTCAGCACACACTCCCCTCAGTTCACTTTTCTCTGCAGTTTCTGCTTACAACCGTTGCCCACCCCTCTACACTCACTTGGTTCTCTTATCCTCCATGCTCCCCTGTCTCTCTTCCCGCAGCATCAGCAGCCAGTCCGCTGCTGCAGCAGAGGCTCATGCGGACAGGCAAAGGGGTGGCACTCCAACCAGAGGGAGCTGGCTGTTTTTTTCAGCCAGAGGGTGAGCTTCTTCCTTCCTCATTCTCTCTCCACCTCACTGTCAGAATATATTTGCTGTTTAGCCTGCAGTGGGGTACTCTGTAGTGAGTACAACCCAATTTAGGGTTTGCTATTTGTATCCCAACTTTCTATAGTGAAACCCCTCATTCTCCTTTCCAATTCTCTCGACACTCAATCCTCTCGACACTCAACTCTCTCGACACTCACTAGCTATGGCTCCTAAGTCACGCTAGGATTCTAACATGGTATTAAGAGCAATAAGTTCTATGACCTAACATCAATGAGCCCGCCACCTAATGCCCTGCTAGCCTAGGCCCCGGCCCGTCGCCCCTTGGCGTAGCCCCTAGCCCCTAGGCTCGGCCCCTTGGCCCCGTCGCCCCTAGCTGTGCCACTCGGCCCCGCTGGCCCCGTCGCCCCTAGCCGCGCCCCTCAGCCCCGCTGGCCCCATTGACTCCGTCGCCCCGCGCCCGGCCCGTACTTAGCCCGCGATCGGCCCGTACCTAGCCCGCGCTTGGCCCCGTTCCTAGCCCCGCGCCCGGCCCGTACCTAGCCCGCGATAGGCCCGTACCTAGCCCGCGCTCGGCCCTGTCTCACGCCCACGCCCGGCCCGTACCTAGCCCGCGATCGCCCCGTCGACACCCGCGCCCGGCCCCGTACCTAGCCCGCGCCCCGTCGACGCCCGCGCCCGGCCCGTACCTAGCCCGCGACAGGCCCGTACCTAGCCCGCGCCCGGCCACGTCTTACGCCTGCGCCCGACCCCGTCCCTCGCCAGCGCTCGGCCCGTACCTAGCCCGCGCCCGGCCCCGTCTGTCGCCAGCGCCTGGCCCCGTACTTAGCCCGCGCCCCGGCCCCGTACCTAGCCCCGCGCCCGGCCCCGTACCTGCCCAGCGCGCGGCCCCGTACCTGCCCAGCGCCCGGCCCCGTACCTGCCCAGCGTGCGTCCCCGTACCTGCCCAGCGCCCGGCCCCGTACATGCCCAGCGCCCGGCCCCGTACCTGCCCAGCGCCCGGCCCCGTACCTGCCCAGCGCCCGGCCCCGTACCTGCCCAGCGCCCGGCCCCGTACCTGCCCAGCGCCCGGCCCCGTACCTGCCCAGCGCCCGGCCCCGTACCTGCCCAGCGCCCGGCCCCGTACCTGCCCAGCGCCCGGCCCCGTACCTGCCCAGCGCCCGGCCCTGTACCTGCCCAGCGCCCGGCCCCGTCCCTGCCCAGCGCCCGGCCCCGTCCCTGCCCAGCGCCCGGCCCCGTACCTGCCCAGCACCCGGCCCCGTACCTGCCCAGCGCCCGGCCCCGTACCTGCCCAGCGCCCGGCCCCGAACCTGCCCAGCGCCCGGCCCCGTACCTGCCCAGCACCCGGCCCCGTCCCTAGCCCAGCACCTGGCCCCGTACCTGCCCAGCGCCCGGCCCCGTCCCTAGCCATGGCCCCGTCGTCCCTAGCCATGGCCCCTCGCGACCTGCCGCCCCTAACCGCGGCCCTGGTGCCCTGTTGCAACATGGTGGGTGAGGGTGTGGCAAGAGGGGGTTCCTCCTGCCCGCGTGCCCTACAGTCGCACGCGCAGCTCCGCCCCCGCCCCCCTCCCCCCCCTCCCCCCCCTCCATGGGGATGGCGGGGAGAGGGTGTGAGGGGGTGGCGGATGTGCCTCAGCAGCAGTAGCTGCCGCCACGCCTCCTCCTCTCTCTCTCCCTGCCGCACCTTGTGTTGGGAGAGGGGGGGGAGCTTGGAGGTTCAGGAGGAGGCAGGAGGGGATCTGCAGCACCAGGCCCCCCCACCCTTCTCCTACCTCCCCTTGCTGCGGGTGCAGCAGATGGGGGGAGGGGATCTGCAGCACCAGCCCCCCCCCCCCCCCCCCTTCTTCTACCTCCCCCTGCTGCGGGTGCAGCAGTGGGGGGGAGGGGACCTGCAGCACCAGCCCCCCCCCCGCCCCCCCTTCTCCTCCATCTCTCTGCTGCGGGTGCAGCAGTGGGGGGGAGGGTATGGGGGTGGCGGGTGTGGCCAACCTGCTGTCGCCCGAGCGGCTCCTGCACCGCCCCCCCCCCCCCCCCCCCCCTGCCCCCCCCCCTTTCTCCTCCATCCCCCTGCTGCGGGTGCGGCAGTGGGGGGGAGGGGATCTGCAGCTCCAGCCCCCCCTCCCGCCCCCCCCCTTCTCCTCGGTCTCTCTGCTGCGAGTGCAGCAGTGGGGGGGAGGGTATGGGGGTGGCGGGTGTGGCCAACCTGCTGTAGCCCGGGCGGCTCCTGCACCGCCCCTTCTCCTACCTCCCCCTGCTGCGGGTGCAGCAGTGGGGGGGAGGGGATCTGCAGCACCAGCCCCCCCCCCCCCCCCCCCCCGCCTCCCCCCCCCCCCCTTCTCCTCCATCCCCTGCTGCAGGTGCAGCAGTGGGGGAGGGTATGGGGGTGGCGGGTGTGGGTGCAACTGCGGGGTGGCGGGTATGGGGGTGGCGGGTGTGTGAACTGTCCCCTCCTCCTCCTCCACCTTCGTCTCCCATTGCTGCAGCTGCCGCTGAGGGGGGTGGGTGTGTGGGAGCCGAGGGAGTGGTGCTAGGGGGGTGACGTGGGAGTGGAGCTAGCGGTGCAGCAAGGGGTGTGTGAAAGGGGGGTGGGACAGTTGGGGGAGGTTGAGTGGAGGCTGCCGTCTTGTCGTCCGCAGCACCTTTAGTCCGGGGCTCTGCTTGTGGTAGCTCAGAGAGCCTGCTGCGCCTGTCGCCTGTGGGTCCGTTTCTCCTGCCGCTCAGAGTTAGCCGCAGAGCCAGTTACTCCTGTAGTCCGGGGAGACGGCTCCGGTAGCCACAGTGCGCGCCGCTCCTGTTGCCCGTGTGTCTGCAACATCAGCCGTCGCCTCCTATCTACTCTCCTCTTACAGTCCAGCCTCCTCCTCACTTGCCCTTTGTGAATGCCTCTAGCTTTGCTTGTACTTGTGAACCTGCTCTATGACTGCTTGCTCTGCTGATTATACCCCACTTTGACTATGGGGGTGTGTCAGAATATATTTGCTGTTTAGCCTGCAGTGGGGTACTCTGTAGTGAGTACAACCCAATTTAGGGTTTGCTATTTGTATCCCAACTTTCTATAGTGAAACCCCTCATTCTCTTTTCCAATTCTCTCGACACTCAATCCTCTCGACACTCAACTCTCTCGACACTCACTAGCTATGGCTCCTAAGTCACGCTAGGATTCTAACACTCACCACTCCAGTTTTTGCTGCGGTTTCTCTTTCGTTCATTTCCTTAGTCCTTGCTGCATCCCCAGTTTTGCCTCCCTTCAAACCTGAGCCACTGGTCGTGCCACAGCTTAAAGCCACAGACCCCCTTTTTTAAGGTAAACCACCCCAGGTACACAAGGTATCCTCTCAGGTAAAGCCTCCCCAGGTATTTTCCTCCCTTGGGTCTGTGGCTTGTAGCTGAGGCTGCACCAGTGGCCCCCTTTTCTCTATCACCATGCCATCCTCCCTCTCTCGCCTTGTGTTTTCTCATTGCTGCCCCCCATCTGACTCACCAGCCCTGTGGGTGGTGGCATTCTGCTTCAGAGTTGTGCCGGCTCTGTCACTCGCCCTCAGCCTCTCACTCTTTGGTAAGCCCTCAGGCTTGCCTGATTCAGTAAATCCTCACGCTTGGGTGATTCTGTAAGCCGCTCAGCCTCCTTCCATTCCCATTCTGCAGCTATCCTGCTGCACAGCTCGATCCACCACCCATCGCCACTGCAACCCCGATGTATCGTGTGTTTCTCCTCACCTCATCAGCCTCACTCCCTGTCTCTCCTCACTCTCCGTCTCTCCTCACCCACCGTCTCTCCTCACTTCCGGTCTCTCTACCTCATATCTCCTCTCGCTTCCCCTTCTCTCCTCTCCTGTGTCCGCAGTTATTCTGCTACATAGCTCGCTACGCCACCCACCACCCCTGCAGCCTCAGCGGCAACTTAGCCGGAGTGCAAGCAGCAGGCAGCAGCAAGGGGGGCGGGCGAGATGACAGGCGACGAGGGCGAGATGACAGGAGAAGAGGAAAATCTGACAGCACAGCATGCCATGGCGTACTTCACCATACCACCTCGAGCCAGCTACTGTTATGGTGAATGTGGATGTGAACAGTAGCTTAGCAACAGGCCAGGCAAATGTGTGATATTATTGTGCAACTGGTGTCATTTCATAAGAAGTGCACATCACTGCCTGCCTACCATATGTACTATCACATCTTAGGGGCGTTCCTACGGCCCCTTATCATGCTACCTGTTATCAGGCTCACAAAAAATCACACTGAAATTCGTGCAAACCCGAAACCCTTCACGCATTTTACCAGGCAAGTCTGATAAGAGGTGCATGATAAGAGGCCCAAGGAACACGCCCTTACTGGAATGTGCCCAAGGAAGGAAGGAGCTGCAAGAGAATCCCTCATGCCCTTGAACACATAATCTTTGCATTCAAAAAACAATAATGAAGGCAGTGATAAGGAGTACAAGCCCACCTCTAGCAAAATGCTCTTTCTTCACCTTACTGAGCCACCGAAGGAGCACCGGTGTACCCTTTCTTTTGAACCCTACCTCTTCCTCACAACCAACAGTATTTCGCCTAGCTAAGAAGGACCCCTCCGGCTCACACCTAGCACCAGCAGCACACCCGCCAGCAACGCCTAGCTGCTGCTGCTGCTGCTGCTGCTTTTCCAAGCCAACACGTGCTGCGACAGCCCCATTAGGCACACAGCCTGATGTTGATCTGGCACTGGCGATGGTACATGCCATCCTCTGGTTTAGATCAATACAACGCTCACCTGGGCTTCCTGCTGCCTCACATGCTCCACCTGCCTCACATCTACCTGTCTCACAGCCCCAATCTAATCTGCATGTCTCTGTTGCTCCACGCATGCAACCAGCTTGGCACCCATCTATTGCCTCGCACACCCCTGCTTCTTCACAACCCATGGCAGGTTGGCATGGCTGCGGCAGTGCATGCCCACACTGCTGGTTCCGCTGCTGGGTAGCCCGCACCTTCTGAGGCGAAAGCGGTTCTCTGCTTTCAGGAACAGACTGCTTTGACTTCTGAGTCGACTCAAAAGTCAATTTAGGAACAGACTGCTTTGACTTCTGAGTCGACTCAAAAGTCAATTTAGGAACAGACTGCTTTGACTTCTGAGTCGACTCAAAAGTCAATTCAGGAACAGACTGCTTTGCTGCCAGCCTGCCTCCCCGGGGTGGTGCTCCTCCCATCCTCCTGCCTTGCTGGGCCTGCAAGGTGGATGCTGGGCCTGCTCTTGCTTCTCCTCCTGCTCTTGCTCCTCCCCCTGCTCTTCCACATGCTGCTGCTCGCCTCGCTTCTTGTACCCGTGTTGTGCCATCCGCTGCCCGTGCACCTGATTCTGCACCAGCCTCAACACCGCTCTCAACACCTCTATGTTTGCCTGTCTCTGTGCCTGTCTCGACATCTGTCTCTGCATCTGTCTGTGTGCCTGACTGTGAGCCAAGGTGCCAGGTGAGAGTGCGCCGGGGAAGGCCCAGTTGACCGAGCGTGGTGACAGCAGCATTGGCTATGAGAGGACGCACGTCACGAACGGTGAGGGCCGTTGGGGTATCCTGTATGGAGAGTGTGAGGGTGCGGCAGGCGTGAAGGTGGGAGGTTGGGAGGGGTGAGGGTGGGAGTGAGCCTAAGTAGCAAGAGGGCCACTCGGCCAAGTGTGGTAGGTTACTGCAGCGATGGCCAAGAGGGATGCATCACTGGATGTGGTAGGTCACTACACGAGGCGGACGGCGAGGGACGTTGGGGCGAGTGAATGACTTCAGATTATTTTTCAGTCGACTTAAAAGGCGGAATGTGGGGCGAGGGAATGAGTTCAACCCTCGATTTTGTGTAAAACGATTTCCGAACAACAACGACGACGACGACGACGACGACGACGGCAACAAAGAACAACAACAAAGAACAACGAGTATCTCTCACCACAGAGGGGTGCACGGCATTGGAGAGCAGAGCCACAAAGGTGTTGCGATCAGGGTCTATCCACAGAGATGTGCCTGATGGTGGGAATGACCAGAGTAAAAAAAGCAAGTGATTTTTGTGTTTTTTTGTTTGTTTGTTTTTTTTTTGTTTTTTGTTTTTTCTCAGTTAGTTTCCACATGATGACGACCTTGTGCAGGTGGCGATGCAGGTGGAAGTGAGAGGCTCAGACAACATGGCAAGCCGTCTCACCAGTGAAGCCTGTATGGCCAAATGTGCGTGGCCCCATGAATCTACCCGCTGATGTGTACCCATCCTTGCCCCTTCTGATTGCCACGTCCCACCTGAGAGAGACGGAGAGAGAATGAAGGAGAAAGGGCAAGAAAGACAGAAAGCAACAGGGAGCGGACCGGGAGAAGGGGAGAAACCAAAGAGAGATGCTGGCGGTGCTTAGAAATGATTGTGGCAGATTACGACGAAAGTTTTATAAATGAGTATTGGTGCCTTAAAAAACGAGTACTGGGTGAATCTCAACCGAAATGAGGTCAGCCTAATGAACACGCCAGGGTGAATGCTTAAGACAAAAGGGCAAGGGCTGAGGTCAGAGGCATATGGGTGCAATCATCCGAAACACACCTACAACAAGGGGTTAGTTACCCGAGGGCAAAGGGTCGAGGGTTGTGGTCGGAAGGGGGAGGTGGTGTGGTGAAGAGGCGAAGAGTGCGTGACGACACGAGCTGATGCCCCGTGGTTGGGTCCGTGCCCCCTGCTAGCATGCAGCACGCGAACTGCATACAGGGGAGATGGAGGGATGGGGTTGGGGGGAGAAAGTCAGAAGCAGGCTTCTGAGACATCTTAAGACGACCTGATGCCCCGTGGTTGGCCCTCTGTCCACCCCCTGCGTCCCCGGTTGGCCCACCACTATCAGCCCCCTGTTCCCCCCTCTATATGCACACCCTCTTCTTGCCATGCTTGAACTGAATGAATGCAAAAGGAAAAGAAACGGATGCATGCTATGGTATCAGAGCATGCTAACCTTGGAGACATCAACGATGGTTGAGAAGAGCCCTGCATGGCCCGCCACGCCCCCCATGATCCATGCCGTGGGATCATGCACTGGAGGGGAGGGAGGGGGCAAGAGGGAAAGAGGGATGGGGGGATGGTGTGCGGTGAGCAGGTATGGATGGGAAGTACATGAGGAGGAAGGTAGTTCAGTCAGAAAGAGCCCTGCGTGGCCTGCCACACTCCCCATGATCCATGCCGTGGGGTCATGCACTGAACGAGAGAGAAGGAACAGCAAGAGGAGGGAGTGGAACAAGGGGATAAATGGGGACAAGGGGAGTGGAGAGGCGATGCAGCAAGTCCACCTATGTGGGCACCACGTATGGGGTCTACTCCATCTGCCATCTCATTACATCCGCCTTCCTAAGTCGCTCAATCTCCCTGTTTCTCGCTCCTCTCTCTTGTCCCCAACCTCCCTTCCTCCCCCCTCTCACCTTCCCCCCACAGCAGCTTGTTGCGATGCAGCGAGTCCACCTCTGTCGGGACCACTCGCGGATCCATGCACCCTGCTTCCCGCATGCTGACGTGCTGCCCTGTGATTGGTCGGAGCATGCTGCCGTGCTTGTGCTGCCCCGGGATTGGCCGGAACGCCGTGCTTTCCATGCCCAGCCGGCTGAAGACCTCCCGGTGGACGAACGTGCTGAGGTGGCAGCCTGTGATTCGCTCGATGACGAGCGCAAGCACGATCATGGAGAGGTCGCTGTAGCGAGTTGTGACTATAGGGGGGTACCAGAGATGGTCCGCCATTATAAAGTCAACCACCTGTGGTTGTGTCACGTGAAATAGGGAAACAATAATATCAGAATCAGTCAATCAATTGTGATGTGACTATAGGGGGGTACCAGAGATGGTCAGCCATTATAAAGTCAATCACCTGCGATTGAGTCACATGAAATAGGGAAAGAAGAATATCAGTCAGCCAGTTGTAATGTGACTATATGGGGGAACCAGAGGCGGTCTGCCATAATGAAATCAACCACCTGCGATTGAGTCACATCAAATAGGGGAAACAATACCCAGTCACTCAGATGTGACTACGGGAAGATGCTACTACAGCTGTCAAACTGAAGTAAAGCCAATTAGGTGTGATGAATCAAACCTGAAAAGGAAATAAAGCGCCTGCGAGGGGGCAGTGAATATAAGTTGAGGCTTTACAGAAGCAACGCACCTGCTGACAAGTGGAGAGCTGGAGGGCGAAGCAACGCACCTGCTGACAAGTGGAGAGCTGGAGGGCGAAGAAGGGGTGGAACTCCCTCAGCCCAGCGGTGTGCGTCAGCAGCATCTGCACCGTCACCACATGCTTGCCGTTCGCTCCGAATGCTGGCAGGTAGCGATGCACTGGGGCTTGTAAGTCTGATTGTAGTGGTGGTGGTGGGGTGGGGGGTGGGGATAGGTAGCGGTGGTAGATTATCAGAGACGCCTAGAAACAGCTCAAAATCGCTCAAAACACCTCAAAAGCTAGTCAGCAGCATGTGCACTGTAACCCCATGCTTGCCGTTCGTGCCGAATGCAGGCAGGTAGCGATGCACTGGGGCATCTAAGTCTGGTAGTGGTGGTGGTGAGGGGGGACTACGAGTTAGCCATTGCCGCGAGATTGATAGACCATGTGTGCAACGAAAGGAGCAGACACAGCGCAGTGGGATGGGGTGGAGATGCAGTGTGGGGAAGAGGGGGAGGAGGTGCAGCTTACCCAATAGACCTTTCTCATAGAGGATCATTGCTGCAGGAATTTTGAGTCCACTCTAATTTTGAGTTTTTGAGTAAACTCAAAATTTTGAGTTGACTAAAAAGAGGAGGGGCAGCTCACCCAATAGACCTTTCTCGTAGAGGATCATTGCTGCAGGAACAGTTGCCATGATCTGCAGAAACGCAAGGGCATATGGGAGAGCAATGTGAGTTAGAAGTGCAGTCAGTGGTGATCGTGTAGGAAAGTACTGGACGCAGCCTCAAAGGCAGGATTATTGCAACAGGAACAGTGGCGTGACAGGTTCATGGCGAGAGAGTTCGAGAGAGGCAGCCACCCACTTCCACTCCCCCTCTTCCCATTCACCTTGGTGAGAGAGGCGAGGTCCCAGAGGGAGTCTGAGAGGTGATGGGTCTGTTGCAATCAATGGCAACCACCCGTTCCCCCTTTTTGAATCCCAACCCCCCTCACCCCTCCCTCTCCCTCTCCTTCCCCGCTCCCCTTTTCACCTTGGTGAGCGAGGGAAAAGGAGGGATGAGAAGCGAGAGACGACAAGGCATTCACTTGAGACACGTGGGATGTGGCATGAACGTGATGAGTGAATGAGGCTTTTCAACGAAAGAGAGAAAATGATGGAAAGGCAGAAGTGAAGCGTAAATAACCGACAACACTGGAAGGACGCAGTAAAGTATAAGAGAGCGTACTAAGTATAAGTGCCGAAGGCTGGGTTGATTGAGAGTCCCAGTCAGGTTTTGGGTCGATGTCAATGGACCATAAGCCATGCGCCATGTACCATGGAACAACACATGCCAATGAGAGATGCAGAGAAAAAGGGTGGCGGATTTGTGAAGACCATTGCCATGGCATGCGGGTGGAGTAAATTATAACATAAATGCTGTATATCATCAAGCAATCTGACAAATGATCTGCTATCAGGCGGATTTCAAGGTGTCTCGACAAGAAGCTGTTGCATCGAGGTGAGATGATGGTATGGCACTCACAGGCGTGAAATACAGGGCCCTCGAATGAGCCAAAGGCCACTGTTCCTCCCGGGAACGCTTGCTCCGCGATTGCCTGCATGAATGCGCGGTATGGGTGGGAGGAAGACCGGCAGGGTAGAAGTATTTTTTTGCGGCGCCTAAACAACCAAACCTTCAACTCCAGCGTGCACCAGCCGGACATGACAGGAAAAGAATAGGACAGGATAGTGTAGTAGAGTGCGGAGTGTCAGTCCGGCACTGGAGGATTGCAAAGTGTCGCGAGTCTTGAAATGTACCAGTTAATGGAGGGACAGGTCATGTCATGACAAGCACACCCACCCGATTCATTATATCACCGATCGTTAGATGCTCCTCCCTTTCCCAACCCTCCTCCTCCTCCCCTTCGTCCCCTTCCCGCTCCTCTTCTCCACCTTCCCTCCCACCAGTCTCCCTTGTCGTCTCCGCTTCCCCTCGTCGCTCTTTCGGCGTAGTTTCGCGTTTCTTCTCCGCATCTTCAACGTCATCTTCTAGAATCTCCTCCACCGCCTCGGCGTCTGGTTCGAGCCGAACCTCTTTTTCCAGATGGTGCGACGCTCCTGGTGCATTTTGAGAGCTCTCAGAACGTGTCGCCATACTATATAACTGCGTGAAGCGACGAATCTACTCCGACGAATCTTCTCGGAAGACTCTACTGAAAGTAACCCTAATCTACATCGGGGTCCATTGCCAGCTCGTAATCAGGATTCCTGTGTATCCTCTAGTAGAATCTCCGGGTGATTCACCGAGTGAATCACGCTTTAAAAACGTCGCAAAACATTATAAAGGACCAACGGTTAAGAAAAGTCGTCGAACCGCATAGCGTAATGAACGGGCGATGATCGCTGCTGGTACTGCTGGATGTTGCTGATGGTAGATTGCTCCTGTGACTTTCCATGTACTCGCCTGAGACCGACTCAACATTGTTTTTGGAGAGAGGCTGGATAATCTGGCGGATAAAACACATTCATGGCTCGTGGTTGATTATGACATGTCCAAGTGTCAAATCAAACTGCTTACAAAGTTAAGAAAACAAAATGGCGGATATCAGGATAACAAAAATTAAAATGACGTATCCGGATATAATGTGATATAAAAAATTGCCTGGTTAAGTTTGTGAAGGTTACATCAACATATATATTAGCAGCTAAAATGGCTGGTGTTCCAAACACCAATGTAGGATTGTTGTAAGTCGTGGTGCCCCTCCTCTTCTCGTTATCCCGCAATCGAAGCAACTTCTAGAAGGGTCATTGCAAGACCCACATTGAAGATTCTGAAACAGGAGCCACTTTCAGCACCCACATTTTAGTAGATACTCGACTGAAATGCCACGCCGTGGTTTTCGTTGTTGCATTCAACTATATGGAGGCGGCAGGAGACCTTGAACAACCTATGCATTTACGCTCTTACCAGTAACGACGTATTTTGGTTTGATGTGAGGCAACTAAAGCAGTACTTAATAGCGGTTTATTATGACACGTACGCACGCGTCAAGCCCTGGGGTCCTCGTCAGGCGACTCCAGGCCGCTCTTACTCGTCGCATTCTGCCTCTCGCCGTCGCACTGACCGTCGCATACTTGGCATTTTTCGAGCTCGTGCGACCAAGCCTGCTCTCCGCCGATATCGCACAGTCGTCCGGCTCACCTCTTTTCCCGCAAAGCGGCTGTGAGACGGCGAGGAACTGTCGCGGTACACTGCTGGATAGATATGTATATAGCGCGGATGCGGAATTTAGGTGAGTTTGTCAGCGTTTGGTTACAGCAGGGACCATTCGCCTTCGCAGAAGCGAAACCGGCCTCTAAACTCCATGGCTGAATATTGCTGTCATTTTCACCAACCCATCTCACTTATGGTGTTACTCCCTGCTGTTGGCAGGTGGAAAGACACTGGCAATCGCATGCGGGCCAAGGAGGCTGGAGGGTGGTGGACGGGGTACGTGCTGCTGGTGAACACCCACAACTGGCTCAACCGAACCGTCACTAACCGATTCTCCTGGTGGCACCACCTCACTCTCATTGTGAGCAATGTCATTCAGATCAAAAGTTGCTGCATTATGTGTGCTCCTCATTGACTGGTGAGTGGGTGGGAGGGAGCAAGCAATGCATGTTGTTTCGGTCAGGTAGTTTTGGAGAACCGCTTTGTGAATCTCGGTCGATTTTTTAGGTGCCTTAGAAATCGCCTTGTGAATCCGAAAAAATAAACTCCCTCAATGCATGCCTCCCGGCTGTGCTTCCTCCCTGCTCTGCATCGCCCTCCCAGGCACCAGACAACATGCCCAACGCCAGCAAGGGCCTCGTGCTCTTCTTCATTGGGGCGGGGTGGAGCGACGATGGCAGGGACGGCCGTGGGTAGCATGTGCCCAAACCGACACACGTCTCGTGCTTCCCCTCCCTCCCTCCCTCCCTCCCTCCCTCCCTCCTTTCACCCTCCCAGGCGCCGGACAACATGCCAAACGCCAGCAAGGGCCTCGTGCTCTTCTTCATTGGGGTGGCTTCTGAGTCGACCCAAAAGTCAACTCTTTAACTGCTCGCCGCTCGGCTGTTCTTCCTCCTTTTCTGACCATACCAGGCATCAGACAACATGCCCAACGCCAGCAAGGGGCTCGTGCTCTTCTTCATTGGTGCGGGGTGGAGCGATGACGGCAGGGACGACCGCGGGTACCATGTCCCGAAAGCGAATGCCGTGTTCATCGGCGTTGCTGCTCCGTAAGTGTGGATGGGGCGTGAGTGGGGGTGGCATGTATGGGAGGGGAGTGAGAGCAAGGGGTGGGAACGTTGTACCCGTTGCATCTACCCCGGAACGTTGTACTATGCCGTCTTCATCCGCGTTGCTGCTCCGTAAGTGTGGATGAGGCGTGAGTGGGGGTGGCATGTATGGGAGGGGAGTGAGAGCAAGGGGTGGGAACGTTGTACCCGTTGCATCTACCCCGGAACGTTGTACCCGTTGCATCTACCCCGGAACGTTGTACCCGTTGCATCTACCCCGGAACGTTGTACTATGCCGTCTTCATCCGCGTTGCTGCTCCGTAAGTGTGGATGAGGCGTGAGTGGGGGTGGCATGTATGGGAGGGGAGTGAGAGCAAGGGGTGGGAACGTTGTACCCGTTGCATCTACCCCGGAACGTTGTACCCGTTGCATCTACCCCGGAACGTTGTACCCGTTGCATCTACCCCGGAACGTTGTACCCGTTGCATCTACCCCGGAACGTTGTACTAGGCCGTCTTCATCCGCGTTGCTGTCCCGTTGCTCGGCCCAATTGCAGTCTGGTGGTGGATCTGGGATTAATGGGCGTGTTGCTACATGAGGAGCCCATGATGCCCATCACCTTTCACGTCACTCCCATTCAATCTGCTATACCACTCAGCTATTCCCCTCTGTGCCACTCTGCTATACCCCCCAATTGCAGGCTGGTGGTGGATCTGGGAATCATGGGCGTGATGCTGCACGAGGAGCCAATGATGCCCATCACCTTTCACGTCACTCCACCTGGCATCAGCAGCAGCAGGGGCCAGAAGCTTCAGGAGGAGGAGATCATCTCATGTAAGCCAGTTACCCTATATCGCGTCCGTACCCCAAATGTCCCGTCCACATGCCCAAAAGACCCGTCCTCATGCCCAGATGACCCATCCACATGCCCAGATGACCCATCCACATGCCCAGATGACCCATCCACATGCCCAGATGACCCGTCCATATGCCCAGATGACCCATCCACATGCCCAGATGACCCGTCCATATGCCCAGATGACCCATCCACATGCCCAGATGACCCATCCGCATGCCCAAATGACCCATCCACATACCCATCACACTACCTCACGCCCCCTTCCCCATCCACTCCACCCACCCCATCCACCAGTCACCCTAGCAATGGCTCTGCAAGACCCCACCACCCCCGAGTGGCCCATCCGCACGCCCATGGCCATCACTTCACCCTCACTTTCTTCCCCGTCTCTTCTCCCCACCCCATCCACCAGTCACCCTAGCAATGGCTCTGCAAGACCCCACCACCCCCGAGTGGCCCATCTACATGCCCATGGCCAAGTCGGTCATACGAGCCATGGACGCTGCACAGCTCGCTGCCAGAGAGCTGATTCCCCATGTGCCGGTGAGTGAGAGGGGTCACCTCATGCCCCACCACCCCCGAGTGGCCCATCTACATGCCCATGGCCAAGTCGGTCATTCGTGCCATGGATGCAGCACAACTCGCCGCCAGAGAGCTCATTCCCCACATGCCTGTGAGTACTGCAAGGTAAGGTACCCTTACGCCTCCCCTCTCCCCGAGTGGCCCATGGCCATCTACATGCCCATGGCCATCTACATGCCCATGGCCATCTACATGCCCATGGCCATCTACATGCCCATGGGCAAGTCGGTCATCCGCGCCATTTGAGGCACCTAAAAAATGCCACCGTGCCGAAACACGCGTACGCTCAGTTTGGAATGTTAATTTCTTGTTTACTTGATCCCTACCTCGCCTAAGCATAGAATAGTGAAGATCAGGACGAGTTCGGTCTGTTGGATCTGGGTCGAATTCAATTTTCTTTGCGCAACTCGCTGCCAGAGAGCCGATTCCCCACGTGCCGGTGAGTGAGTGAACGTGTGAGTTGGGTATTTGAGGCGCCTCAAAACCAAGTCTGTCATCCCTGCCATGGATGCTGCACAACTGGCCGGCCGCTAGAGAGCTACTGCCCCATGTGCTGGTGAGTGGGTTCGTCCGTGTCGCTGTCACGGTGTCAGGTAAGGATGGCGTGTGAGATGAGATGTCCCCATTCTGGTTGAACCTTGTGTGTGTTTTTTGAGAATTCTAAAAAAAACACATGTAAGGTGTGAGATGAGATGTCCCCATACTGGTTGAACCTTGTCTTCCGCATGTCTGTGTTTCTCGTGTGCTTCCCGAGTGACATGTGGATTCGTTTACTTGGTTACATGCATATGCGTGGCTGATGGTAGATTGTTGATGGATGATGGGTGCATGTATGTATGTATGTATGTATGTATGTATGTATGTATGTATGTATGTATGTATGTATGTATGTATGTATGTATGTATGTATGTATGTATGTATGTATGTATGTGTGTGTGTGTGTGTGTGGGTGTGTGGGTGTGTGTGTGTGTGTGTGGGTGTGTGTGTGTGTGTGTGTGTGTGTGTGTGTGTGTATGTATGTATGTATGTATGTATGTATGTATGTATGTATGTATGTATGTATGTATGTATGTATGAATGTATGTATGTATGTATGTATGTATGTATGTATGTATGTATGTATGTATGTATGTATGTATGTATGTATGTATGTATGTATGTATGTATGTATGTATGTATGTATTTGTGTGTGTATGTATGCATTCATGAGTACTCAATGAGTGATGCATGGGATGTGTGATGGATGATGGATGATGGATGATGGATGCAGGTATGCACGAGTAATGGATGAATGATGCATAGGATGGCTGATGGATGAGTGACGCATCGCATTTCCCCTCACTACTACCATCTGCCTCCAACCTGTGCCACTCTCTCGAACAGGCCTTGTCATTGAATGAAAGTGGAATGGTCTTGTTCACTCTCTTCCCAGACCGCTCATGCCTTGCGTGCCCTATCCCCACCCCCACCCCCACCCCCACCCCCACCCCCACCCCCACCCCCACCCCCACCCCCACCCCCACCCCCACCCCCACCCCCATCCCCATCCCCACCCCCATCCCCACCCCCTTCCCTCCCTCCCCCTGGCAGATGGAGGGCTTTGTGACTGTTGGAGTGAGCAAGCGCGCATGTATGGCTTGGCTCTCTGCTGCTCTCGATAAGGCACGTGCTAAGTGATGAATCGTCGATCTATCCTGCTGTCTTGTATGAAGCATACCAGATTCGCCTTCATATCGTACAGCTACGAACTAATCAACTTCCAGCCCAACATGCAGCACCTGCTGCTACCACTCACCCAAACCCTTGGCACTTACCCAAACCCTTGGCACTCACCCAAACCCAGTTTTGAGACGTCTCAAAACGGCACTTGCCCAAACCCTTGGCACTTGCCCAAACCCTTGGCACTTGCCCAAACCTCACGACTCCCGTCCCTCCCTCCCCTATTGTCCCCCTCCCTTACAGCGAGTGGTGGCCTTCATATCGTACGGATACGATCTCATCAACTTCCAGCCCAACATGCAGCACTTGCTCGACTCCCTGGGGGCCGTGCCCATCCTGGGGCGGTTCTATGCAGATTACAACCTCACTCACATGCTGCACTCGCCACAGATGCGCCACATCATGGTGAGAGCGGAGAGAAGGTGGGAGGGCGGGGCCATTTTTGAGGCGCCTCAAAAAACATCATGGTGAGAGCGGAGAGAAGGTGGGAGGGCGGGGCCTGGGTTAGGGGTAATGGCTTACTCGACTCCCTAGCTGCCGTGCCCATCCTAGGGGGGTGGAAGGTTCTATGCGGATTACAACCTCACCCGCATGCTGCACTCACCACAGACGCGCCACATCATGGTGAGTCAAAGGAGGGAGAGTGAGTGTGGGAGAGGGACGGAGAGGGATGGAAGCAAGGGGGTATTAGTTTCCTTTCTTGGGTGCAGTCCCCATCCTGGGGAGGTTCTATGCAGATTACAACCTCACCCGCATGCTGCACTCCCCACAGATGCGCCACATCATGGTGAGTCAAGGGAGAGAAGGTGGTGGGCAACTATGATGGATTATACGCTCTAGACCCTTTGCGTTTAGCGTATCTACGCTAGCGTGTACACGCAATACGCTAAACGCTAGCGAATACGCGATACGCAGCCATAAAAAATTTCGGGCAGCCCGGGAAAGTAAAATCGCAGAAAAGATGCGGATTTTCTTGGTGAGCATTTCGCCGAAGGCGAATTGCAAATCCGCAGTCTATGCAAGCTGGGATCTGACTTCGAAATTTTCAGGCACATCTGGCTTCTCGAATGTCGAATTTCAGGTGCCATCTAGGCATTTGAACCCATCCCCTCTACCGCATTGAAAACTATCAAAATCGAACCCCCAACAAATCTCACGCTACTTACCAGCCAACCCAACTCCTAACCCGTCATTTCCTACCTTGCATTCCCGCTTGCAGCAGTGCCCCTGCGCACTCCAACTTGAACAGCCTCTCCAACACTACTCCCTCTAGCTATGATGTCTACTCCCCGCCCCACCCCACCCGCCGATCGGACTCACGAAAATGCTAGGGCACGCATTAGTGAGATGAGATAGGGGGTAATTTTTTTCCACCCTGCCCGAAATGTTTTTTTCCCTGCCCGAAAAAGCGTAGGCCTGATCCGACCCTCAAGCGTATGGCGTATACACGCTAGCGTATATACGATACGCATATATACGCTAAACGCGTATAATCCATCATAGGTGGGCAATGGTTCTCCTCTCGGTGTGCCGCCTCTACCTCCTGCATGCTGCTGCACTCGCCCTGCGCTCCCTCCTGCCTCTGCCAGGGCTACATGGATCCGTAATATTTTTTAATACCGCCTCACTCACCATGCCCTCGCTGCTCATCTTTTGAGGCACCTAAAAAAGTTGTACTTGTTTTTAATACCGCCTCCCTCACACACCATGCCCAGGCTGCTCATCTTCTACCGCCTGAAAGAGCTGCTTATTCCCAACCCCTCCCACCCGTTCAACCTTTCCATCCTCTCGAACCCCTCCCATCCCCTCTGCACAGAGCTACACGGATCCATACTTCTTCCGGGACCGCCTGACCATGCCGAAGCTGCTCATTGCCGCTTCCAACGACGAATTCTTCTCCATGGATGACTCGTGAGTGCCCCATATATACATGTATACATATATACATGTATACATATACACATATATACAGATATACATATATTTATATATACATATATACATATATACATATATACATATATACATATATACATACATACATACACACATATATACATATATGATGTGATCAATGATATTAATATATATATATATATATATATGTATCCATGGGCTTTCCGAACCGAACCTAGCGCTTTCGACAGAATGCTTTCAGGCAGCTCTCAGAATAACATACAGGAATTACCACGCACACGCATTTGATCAGCGTTGCGCACACTCTGTTTCTGTCACCCCCACTGGATCTTGAGTCGACTTAAAAGGCACACCAATTCTGTCATTCGCGCTGGCTTGATTTGCACGCTCCCACTCTCCACCCATCATGCTCTCACTCACCCCTGGATGCCAACGCACTTGCTTCGGCACGGCAGGTACTTCTCCTTAAAAAAGCGACTTGTGGGTCAACTCAAAAGTCACCTCTCATCTCACTCAACCCTGCATGTTGATGCAAATGCGCTGGGCTTGGCAGCTACTTCTATTTCAACGACCTGCCAGCCCCCACGCTGTTCAAGATCGTGGCCAACCTCGATCACATGGTCATTCAGATGTCGCAGTGGGTACGTACGGACCGTCTCTCTCCTCACACTCCCAGCCTCTTTCCCAGCCTCTTTCCCAGCCTCTCTCCCAGCCTCTCTCCCAGCCTCTCTCCCAGCCTCTCTCCCAGCCTCTCTCCCAGCCTCTCTCTCAGCCTCTCTCCCCTCGCCATCCAGCCCCCACACTGCTCAAGATCGTAGCCAACCTCGATCACATGGTCATCCAGATGTCGCAATGGGTACGTATGGGCCGTCTCTCTCCTCTCGTAATGAGTCGTGTTTTGAGTCGACTCAAAACACAGATCACATGGTCATTCACATGTCGCAATGGGTACGTATGGGCCGTCTCTCTCCTCTCGTAATGAGTCGTGTTTTGTGTCGACTCAAAACACAGATCACATGGTCATTCAGATGTCCCAATGGGTACATTTGGGCCATCTCCCTCCTCATTCTCCCAGCCTCTCTCGCCTCCCCATCCACTCCCACGCCCTTCTTGCCTTCTCCTTTTGAGTCGACTCAAGAGTCATCTTCTTTTCCCCCACATGGCGAACGCTCCATGCTCCATCTCATTCCTCTTCCCATCCCTATTCCCCTACTTATTATGGCAGGCGTATCTTGAAGATTAATTCTAAGACACCCTTGTAAGGCGTCTTAAATGCTTCCTCTCCCATCCCTATTCCAATACCCCCTCTCTTTCACTCCCCTCCGACTCCCATTCCATAAACCCTAACCCAACCTTAAACCTTAAAATCTTGTCCCCTCCCTCCCCCCCCAACATCACAGGCCTATGATGCGTCCCTCTCCGTCTTCTCCTCTCTCCTCCACATCAACTCCTCCTGTGCCTCTCTCCCCGCCTCCTCCCGCCCTTCCCTCACCTGGACCCATCCCATCCCCACCCCTACCACCTCCTCCTCCTCATCCTCACTCACTCAAAACCGTCTTCCTTCAAGTCTCTCAGAGGAAGATGCAGGAGCAGCAGCGGCGGCGGCGGCGGTAGCAGCGGCGGCAGCAGCACACACCCGCCCCTGGAGTTGCGTTCCCAGGCTGCCAGCTGTCGACTGGCCGCGGCTGACGTGGCGTTTTGATTGGTCCACGTTCACTATTCATGCCACGTCAGACAGGAATCCACTGGCGGTTAGAGCATGGTGAGAAGGGTTTGGGGAGGGGAAACGGAAGGGGAGGTGCGGGGGAGAAGGGGATGGGGAGGGGAAGGGGATGGAGTAGAGAACGAGGAGGGAGAGGGGGGGAGATGTGGGGGGCTGGTGGGAATGAGGGAGGGCTTGAGCGGGCTGAAATGGAGGCTGTTGAGCTGCCTCTTATTCTAAGTCATCGATATATCGAGAGTGTCTAAACCATTGTGTTTTTAAGAATCTCTAGATCATCGTTACTCTAAGAGTCTCTAAATCATCGTGTTTTTAGGGTCGACTCAAAAGCCTCTGAAATGCAATGCATTGAAATAACTTTTGAGAATTCTCAAAAGTGATTTCGAAATGCAATGCAATGAACGGCTGCATCTCTCTCCTTTCCTCCCATTCTTCCATTCCCTCCTTCCAACCCCCCCCCTCCCCCCACCCCTCCTCTCCCCTCCCGCTACCCCCTCTCCCCCTAGTGCAGGACGGGGCACACCAGTCAGGGCAGCAAGAGGCGAGACTTCCGATTCAACGTCAAGCAGGGGCTCACCGGGTGGTGAGTGGTGTGGCAGGGGTGGTCAGTGGTGTGGCAGGGGTGGTCAGTGGTGTGGCAGGGGCTGACTGGTGGTGAGTGAGTGAGTGGTATGATTCGCTGGGCGAGTGGTGTGAACCATGTGGATGTGATGTTGCACCTTGTTTAGCAACCTTGCTTGACATTTTTTTTTTTTTTTTTTTTTTTTTTTTTTTCCATCGACTCAAAGTGATTTCCCTTGAAGAGTTATGAGGCATCTCAAGACTCTTCTATTCCCTTCCGCCCCTCCTGCCCCCATCCTCCCGGCCAGCACGGTGCCCTTCACAAGTTTACCGAAGTCCTATATAGCCAAGTTCGGCACGCTCTGTGTGCAGCCCATTCCGTTCTCCCAGTATGCCGTCTCGCCACCCACCCTGCAGCCTGACGGGCTCTGGCACTTCAGCTCAGCCGTCAAAGACATTCCCAAGGTGCGAGCCTTTTTTTTTTTTTTTTTTTTTTTTTTTTTTGAGAGAACTCTCGAAGTCCCTTCAGTTCCGCCACAAAAAAAAAAAAAAAAAAAAAGGCTCGCAGGTGGGATATCGAGCGATGTTTATCGAGGTCGATTTCAACCATGGGCCCTACCATAAGCCGCTCGTCCTCACCCAATACGCTCTCACTCTGCTGTCTCCCCCACTTGCGCTCTGTTTGTTGCTCTGCCGCACAGGTGGGATATCGAGCGATGTTTATCGAGGTCGATTTCAACCATGGGCCCTACCATAAGCCGCTCGTCCTCACCCAATACGCTCTCACTCTGCTGTCTCCCCCACTTGCGCTCTGTTTGTTGCTCTGCCGCACAGGTGGGATATCGAGCGATGTTTATCGAGGTCGATTTCAACCATGGGCCCTACCATAAGCCGCTCGTCCTCACCCAATACGCTCTCACTCTGCTGTCTCCCCCACTTGCGCTCTGTTTGTTGCTCTGCCGCACAGGTGGGATATCGAGCGATGTTTATCGAGGTCGATTTCAACCATGGGCCCTACCATAAGCCGCTCGTCCTCACCCAATACGCTCTCACTCTGCTGTCTCCCCCACTTGCGCTCTGTTTGTTGCTCTGCCGCACAGGTGGGATATCGAGCGATGTTTATCGAGGTCGATTTCAACCATGGGCCCTACCATAAGCCGCTCGTCCTCACCCAATACGCTCTCACTCTGCTGTCTCCCCCACTTGCGCTCTGTTTGTTGCTCTGCCGCACAGGTGGGATATCGAGCGATGTTTATCGAGGTCGATTTCAACCATGGGCCCTACCATAAGCCGCTCGTCCTCACCCAATACGCTCTCACTCTGCTGTCTCCCCCACTTGCGCTCTGTTTGTTGCTCTGCCGCACAGGTGGGATATCGAGCGATGTTTATCGAGGTTGATTTCAAGCACGGGCCCTACCCGAAGCCGCTCGTTCTTACAACCGAGGCCATGATAGCACCAAACACTTTTCCTTTTGCCCCATGCAATACCACTGCGTGCTACACTCACTTTGCGTAATTTAGCCATCGAGATTTTCTTCACGGTGCTGTGCTTAGGTGTGGGAGCAAATCGCAAAAATATAGAAGAGAAATGAATCCATCCATTTCTGCCTGCTTTTTGGAGTAGAAACAAAAACCAACTACCAGTAGGGTAAAAATTGCTAGCTTACAGCTTACTTGCAAATGTAGACCCTTGAACAAAGAGAACTCGACCTACCTAGAGATGGGATGGTACCTAGTGAAGCTGTTAATGCCAGTGTATTATGAAATTCTGAATCTAGAAGGGTACTCTTGTGGAGTGAGAGAGAACGAGGGAATTGTGATCCACCCCGTGACATGCCACCTGCCAAAACCACAGAATTCCATTGGGTCAGCAGCAGCATGATTCACCCAACGCATGGGCAGCAAAAAAAGATGCCGAGCGAGCGACTCGAGAGAACAAGACTGACCATGGATTGGAGGGTGTGGAAGCGGTCGGTGCTGAGATACAGCGGCTTCCCACGCCGAAGGTTCTCATCCTGGTGAATGCGATGTGATGCACAATGCCGCCAGGTAACGTTAGAGTAGACACTAAGTTAAAAAAAAGGAGGGATTAAGTGAAAAATGGACAGCGGCATATCACTCCTGCTTCGAGGACCGTTGGAGCTCTAAGTAGAAAGCAGTTACATACTCACCTCTTCACCATATGCGTCAAGATAGGGTGCAGGCCATGCGGTATAGCGATAGGGTGCAGGCCATGCGGTATAGCGATAGGGTGCAGGCCATGCGGTATAGCGCATTTTGAGACGTCTCAAAACTACTCACCTCTTCACCATATGCGTCAAGATAGGGTGAAAGCCATGTGGCATAGCGCATTCGGCGCAGCAGCATCACAGAAGTGCGCTGCAAGCGGAGGAATAGCAGGAGAGGGGGAAGGGGGGTATGGAGGAACAAGAGAACTTTTGAGGCGCCTCAAAAGTAGGCATTCGGCACAGCAGCATCACAGAAGTGCGCTGCAAGCGGAGGAAAAGGGAACAACAGGGAAAGATAAAAAAATAACATCAAAGCCGGGGTTTAGTAAATCACGACCACGTCAGACACACAGCCTTCAAACAGATTCTCGCATGGATTCGCCAAAGATGCTTTCACCAAGGCAAAGAAAAAGCACATCTGTACACAGCGCATGGCACACTACACTACTATGCACACATACCCTAATGCTAATTGCACGTGCGTGCGAGCAAGGCCATGGCCATGCACACATGGCCATGATGAGAGAGAGAAATTGCTCACTGCACATGTACATGGCCATGGCCTTGCTCGCACTGCCACACATACCCGCACGAGGAGGAAAACCCCCAGGCCAGCCCCGCACTCCTTGGCATGTGCATAGCTCCCCCCACAGCAGCCCCTCTTGGTGCTCCCACTCCTCGACTCAAGCACACGACTGCAAGAAAGGAGACACAAGCAAAGGAGCATGGGGTAATGGAAGGTAGAATGTGATCAAAGAAGCGTGGGAAAGCAGAGGGAGCACTGTTCTAAGGCGGTGGGAGAAGCGAGGAATCAACGGGAAGCCAGGCTGGGAGCAAGCGGGGGCGGGCTGGAGGCAAGGGGGGATGGGTTAATATTTTGAAGCATTGGATTTGAAGAGTGAGAGGAGACTGGTGGCGTGGGGCAGTGCGAGGCACCCACGTGGGGCAGTGCGAGGCACCCACGTGGGGCAGTGCGAGGCACCTGGTGGATCCGCAGAGCAGTGCAGCAGAGAGCAGGCAGTAGCGTGGCTGCTCTGGCACCAACTGGCATTTGAGTCGTTTGTAGAGTCGTCTCGTCACACAAGAGAGGAAAGAGGTGGGGCAGTGCGAGGGGCTCACCTGGTGGATCCGCAGAGCAGCGAAGCGCAGAGAAGGCAGAAGGCAGGCTGCTCCGGCACCAACTGGCATGATGCACATGGCTCATTCACGTAGCTGCAGAAAAAGAGGAGACAAGGCGGGGAGAAAGAAGGAGGGGAAGGAGACATTGAAGGCAGGTTGCTCCGGCACCAACTGGCACGATGCACATGGCTCATTCATGTCGCTGCAATGGGGAGGAGAGGAGGGTGGGGAGGGCGAGGGGAAGTTCGAGGCACCGCAAAAGGTAGCAGGTGGCACAATGCACAAGGGTCACAAACGGCGGAGGGGGGAGGAGAGGAGAGGGGGTTCCAATGCAGCACACGCTGAGAGGGGGTTCCAATGCAGCACACGCTGAGAGGGGGGCTCCAATGCAGCACACGCTGAGAGGGGGGCTCCAATGCAGCACACGCTGAGAGGGGGGTTCCAATGCAGCACACGCTGAGAGGGGGGTTCCAATGCAGCACACGCTGAGAGGGGGTTCCAATGCAGCACACGCTGAGAGAGGGTTCCAATGCAGCACACGCTGAGAGGGGGGCTCCAATGCAGCACACGCTGAGAGGGGGGCTCCAATGCAGCACACGCTGAGAGGGGGTTCCAATGCAGCACACGCTGAGAGGGGGGTTCCAATGCAGCACACGCTGAGAGGGGGGCTCTAATGCAGCACACGCTGAGAGGGGGGCTCCAATGCAGCACACGCTGAGAGGGGGGCTCCAATGCAGCACACGCTGAGAGGGGGGCTCCAATGCAGCACACGCTGAGAGGGGGGCTCCAATGCAGCACACGCTGAGAGGGGGGCTCTAATGCAGCACACGCTGAGAGGGGGGCTCCAATGCAGCACACGCTGAGAGGGGGGCTCCAATGCAGCACACGCTGAGAGGGGGGCTCCAATGCAGCACACGCTGAGAGGGGGGCTCCAATGCAGCACACGCTGAGAGGGGGGTTCCAATGCAGCACATGCTGAGAGGGGGGCTCCAATGCAGCACACGCTGAGAGGGGGCTCCAATGCAGCACACGCTGAGAGGGGGGCTCCAATGCAGCACACGCTGAGAGGGGGGTTCCAATGCAGCACATGCTGAGAGGGGGGCTCCAATGCAGCACACGCTGAGAGGGGGCTCCAATGCAGCACACGCTGAGAGGGGGGCTCCAATGCAGCACACGCTGAGAGGGGGGTTCCAATGCAGCACATGCTGAGAGGGGGGCTCCAATGCAGCACACGCTGAGAGGGGGCTCCAATGCAGCACACGCTGAGAGGGGGGCTCAGAAACGAGAGCTTAGATATGATTTAGGTGGGAGCACGAAGGAGGGAGTGAGAGATGACCGGGAAGGGTAGGAATGGGTTGTATGTAGCAGGGGGGGTCGGAGAGAGCCCTGGAGGGACTGAGAGGGCTGCAGAAGGCCTGGAGGATTGGGGAGGGGCTGGGGGGGGAGGGTAGGAACTGACCGTTGGAAGAAGTCGAGATAGCGATGGGGGAGGGAGACGAGGCGGAAGGGCAAGGCGAGTGATGGCTGGTGCAAAGACAAGGGAGAGATAACTGCAGTCGCTGCTGCTGCCGCTGCTGCCGCCGTTGCAGCTGCCGGTGCTGTTGCTGCTGCCAGTGTTGCTGGTGTTGCTGCAGCAGCAGCAGCAGCAGCAGCAGCAGCAGCAGTAGGCGAGCTTGCCCTTGAAGCAGTAGCAGCATTAGCAGCAGAAGCAGCAGCAGCAGCGTGGTGGCACCGGGAGAGCATCAGGTGCACAGCGGCAGGGTCAGAGAGCAACACAGGGAGCGGAGGCAGCTGGAACTCCCGCTCCCACACCGCTGCTTCCGCCACCTCCTGCTGTGCCAACACCTGGGTGTCCCCCACCCAGGGGGGCAGGGCTGTGGTGGCTGTGGATGGTGATGGTGATGAGGATGATGATGGTTCTGGTGGTGATGGTGGTGGTGGTGATGGTGGTGGTGCTGATGATGATGGTGGGGTTTGTGGGGTTGTGGTAGGGGGTGGTGCGTCAAGTCTTGGTTGGTTGGGAGGATGGCGATGGGAGGATGGAGGAGTTGAGGTGGAGGGGGGACAGAGAGAGGGAGAGGCAGCTGGGAACGAGGAAACTGAGGGGTGGGAGGGGATGGTTGACGGTTGGGAGGGGAAGAGCAAGGAGGGAGCGGAAGGCATGAGCAGCAGCGGGAGGACGTTGCGCGAGAGGAGGTGCAGGAGGAGGGCGGAGCGGCGCAGGAAGGGCAGGGAGAGGCGATGCACGGCATCCAGGAATGAGGTCTGCTGGAGGAGGAGGTCCGGTAGGAGAGGTGCAGAGGGGGAGGAGAGGGTAGAGACGGAGTTGGAGGGAGATGTGGCGAGCAAGGGGATTGGTGGTATTTCTACTGCTGCTGCTGATGGTGTGACGGTTACAGGTGTAGCAGCAGCACCAGCAGCATCTGTCGCTGGGGTAGACGACGGGGAACCAGCAGCTAGCGCATGCAGCATGGCAGCGAGCAGAGACGAGAGGAACGGCGGCAGAGCAGGGGTGGGCTCAGGAACGCTATTAGAGCCTGAGGATGCCTGATTAAGGACACTGCCAAGAGGAAGAGGAGAGGGGAGTAAGCCTAGGCGGATGGCAGCAGGGGCGAGAAGCAGCAGTGCTTGAGCCACTGCTGCTGTGTATGCCAGATGCACTGCATCCCTCACCACACCCCCTGTACCCTCCTCTCTGTATGCTCTGTGCTGCATCGAGCCTGAAGCTGTGTGTTGAGATGGGTGGGAAGGCGAGGCGAGGTGGGGAAGGGGCAGCGGCAGGAGGCAGTAGAGGAGGCGGGAGAGGGAGAGGAAGGGGTCACGCGCGAGAGCGGGGGAGGCGAGGAGGCGGAGAAGGGCGTTTTCCTCCGGGGGAGAGGATGGGGATGGGGAGGCGGAGAGGGAGGCGGGGAGAGAGGGAGGCGGGGAGGTGGAGGTGGAAGCAGAGGAGGAGGAGGGGTGGGAGGGGTGGGTGGGGTGGGAGGGATGGGGAGAACCAGATGAAGGGACGGCTGCAACAAGAGGTGCGGATTGTGCTGCTTCCAACGGTGTCCCAGGGGCCAAGCTGTCGACCAATAGCAGCATGCCACGTGTCCTGAGCAAGACAGCATGTGTGCTGTGAGACGCCTGCGCCACTGCCAGGCGAGCCAGTGCTCCTACTGTGCCCTCCGCCTTCCTCTTCCTTCCCCCCCCTAGCGAACCCCCTTGCATCCTCTCTATAAGCTGCCTCCTCCACTCCTGATGTCTCCTCTCCTCGTCCATCGTCTCACTGCTACCTCTCTCCTCCCCACCACCACTCCTCCCTTCACCATCACTGCTCCTCTCCTCACCACCGCTCACCTCTCTTCCTATGCTGTTCCCTCCTTCCTCACTCCTCTCTTGACCACTACTGCTGGCATCCCCTCCCACCCCCATGCCTCTTGAACTCCCTATTTGCACTCCACTGCTCGACCCACCTCTCTCTTGCCCCCTCATGCTTGCTACCTCACACCCACTCCCCTCTCCCTCTGCTCTTCCCTCCATCCACTCCCCCTTCCACCCTTCCTCCTCCGCACAAGCAGCCAATGCCGCAACTCGCGCTTCAGCAGTAGCCAACCACATCGCACCACCTGTCCTCATCCTAGCCGCAGCCGTCTCCCCCAGCCCCCAGAACTGTGCTGACGTGTCAACCTTGCCAGCTGGACAGCCAGGTGGCGCCCCTCGCCCTGCCAGCTCAGCGCAGGCGACGGTGTACTCCAAACTCTGCCAGATCAGCAGGCCTTGTAGCTCGCGACCAAGCGCCACGTGGCGGAATCTCGACGAATCGGAGCGCGCCACCTGGCAGATGCGCATGGCTGTGGCCTCTATAGCCTCCTGCATACGTGGAGGCTGCCTGGTTACCATGTCTTGGGGGGTGGTTACCGCGCTACTGGTTACCGCATTACCCGTTACTGTGGTACCTGATTCTCTAGGGTAAGAGGAGCCACCCCTAATAATGCCATCAGTGCTGCTCATGGTGGTCCCACCACTTGAATCTCTCCTTGAAGCAGCTCTGGTGCCGAGCCTGCCTTCACCGAACCTGACAGCAGGTTCGGCAACAATGCAGGCTCGGAGGTTACGTTCCCTCACCCTGCTCTCCGCCTCTCTTATTCTCCACACTACACCAGCCAAACCAGACGCACTACTTGACATGCCTTCTGACCCATGCTTTCCGGCCTCTCCTGTTGCCACTCTAGGCACTGCTGCTGCTGCTGCTGCTGCTGCTGCTGCTGCTGCTGCTGCTGCTGCTGCTGCTGCTGCTCCTGCTGCTGCTCCAATATGCACTGCTTCTTGTACCCGTCCTTGGTTCTCACCAAGCGTAGCAAGGGGGGTGGACGGGTGATCCCCAGGGAGGAGAGGAGAGGGCAGAGCAGCTTGGAGGGGACGCGAGGGGAGTGGTGGGGAGGGCAGAGGTGGGGAGCGTGGTGGGAGCAGAGGGAGCGTGGCGTTGGCGAGACGGCGGCACACGGGACACAAGAACTCGCCCTGCGGTGTGGTGTGACGCAACGCGGTACAGTGCGGTGTTATGTGGGGTGGGTGGGGTGGGGTAGGGCGGGGGAAGGAGAGAGACAGGAGAGGAAAAAATAGAAAGTAAGCAGGATCGGATTGAGGGGCGGAGAAAGGAGGAAAAACGAGGTCAACAGGGTCAACGCAGCCCACAACACAAGCCTTCCGCATGAGAAGGGTGGTTTGCTTGCATAGGAACACAGCTCCAGCCTCCCACACTCACCGCTTCCGGGTCCACCACTGATGAGCCCTCGTAGAAGGAACCACTCAGATACCTGCAAGCACGGACAGGGAGATGGGGGGGAAGAAGAGGTGGGTGGGGAGGGGGGGGTTGGGGTAGGGGTGGGTGGAAGAGGTGGGGAGAGGTGGGGAGACGTGGGGTTTGAGACGTCTCAACTTCAGGGCTGGCACAGACGAGGCCGTGTAGCATGAACCACTCAGTGCTGATACAGACTCGAGATATTGGTCCATGTACGAGTGATGAATGACGAGTCTACACATGAGTGGTGGGTAGGAGACAGACACACACTCACCGCTGGTACAGACTTGAAAAATACTGGTCCATGCACGAATGATGAATCACATGCCCACACCCCTTCACACCTGGATAAGACACACTCCCAGCTAGTAACAACACACTCACCTCTGGTAGAGACTTGAAAAATACTGGTCCATGCATGAATGATGAATCACATGCCCACACCCCTTCACACACACCCCACTCGCCATCCCCTCGCCCACCACCGCCCCACTCTCCCTCTCCTCCGCACCTCTCCCCCTTCCCCCCCCCTGCCCAAACAGATCCGCCCTCCCCGAGATGCCCCTGCGCCTCAGCCTAGCAGTGCGCCTGATGGGGGGAATGTTCATCCAGAACCCACGAAACACCTCCCCTGCTGCAGCCTGCACCGCATCCAACCTCCCCCTGGCTGCGCCAGCTCCCCCCTCCCCTGCTCGTGCCCCCCCAGTTCCTGCTCGCGCTCCCCCTGCCCCTGCTCGTGCTTCCCCTCCAGTCCCCTGCCCTGCCCCTGTTGGTACGGTGGCTCTGGCTCTCCCTGTCGGTTCGGTGGCTTCTGCTGTGGTTCCAGGAATGGCAGTGCCTGCTCCCACTACTGCAGCAGCATCAGGCAGTGTGGCAACGGGCGGCACTGCAGCAACGGGCGGCACTTCAGCAACGGGCGGCACTGCAGCAACGGGCGGCACTGCAGCAACGGGCGGCACTGCAGCAACAGGCGGCACTGTGGTTACACCATGAGTGCCTGCGCCACCTGCACCAGGCTGCTCCACTGCTGCTGCCCCTGCTGCTGCTGCCCGCGTCACCCCTCCTTGGGTCTGCCCCTCTTGTTGCTCTCGTGGTCCCCCTCCTTGCTGCCCCTCATCCCCATCCTCTTCCAACCCCTGACTCGTAGCATCTAGCATCACCTCATCCCCATTGCCATCCCCACCAGCACCAGCACCAGCACCCTCCTCCTGCGCATCATCCCCATCATCCCCATTCCCACCATCACCATCATCATCACCAGTGTCGTCATCATCGGTATCTGAGAACATTTCCACCCCCGCCTCTCCCATCTCTTCCTCCCCCAGGAGAAGCAACCCCTGCCCGTCCATCATCTCATCCTCCCCCTCCTCCTCCCCCCCTTCCTCTCCCTCTTCCTCCTCTTCCTCCTCATCATCCTCATCCTCTTCTCTTGTCTCCTCCTCGCTCGCCCCCACAACTATTTCCCCTCCTTCCCCTCCTCGCCCCTCAGTCCCCGCTTCGTCCCTCCCCCCCTGCCCTCCCCCGCCCTCTCCTGCAACCGCCCCTTCCGCACCCCCTCCTCCCCTCTCCCCCACTCCCCTCTCCCCCCTGCCCGTTCCCCCCACCCCACCAGGCCCCAACCCCACTCCTAACCCATCCCCACCCCCTTCCACACCCGGCCACCCCTCTCCTGTGACTATAGTGGTGGTGAATCGCACCTCCCCCGGTAGCTCCTGCTGCAGTATGTCCATCAAATCCTCCCCATCCACCTGCCACTCGCCCCTCGGCCCCTGTACAGTCACAGGCCCCCCTCCCCCCTCGCGCAGGGTCGCCCTGATCCAGTCAAGGAATTCTGTAGCTTGCACCCACGTCCCTGTGGTTGCTGTTTCTCCTGCTGCTCCGTTTGCCGTTGCTCCTGCTGCTGCTGCTCGTGTCAGTGCTGCTGCTGCAGCTGCAGTTGTTCCTTCCCCTGTGCCTGTACCCACACCTGTGCCTGTACCCACACCTGTGCCTGTACCCACACCTGTGCCTGTACCCACACCTGTGCCTGTACCCACACCTGTGCCTGTACCCACACCTGTGCCTGTACCCACACCTGTGCCTGTACCCACACCTGTGCCTGTACCCACACCTGTGCCTGTACCCACACCTGTGCCTGTACCCACACCTGTGCCTGTACCCACACCTGTGCCTGTACCCACACCTGTGCCTGTACCCACACCTGTGCCTGTACCCACACCTGTGCCTGTACCCACACCTGTGCCTGTACCCACACCTGTGCCTGTACCCACACCTGTGCCTGTACCCACACCTGTGCCTGTACCCACACCTGTGCCTGTACCCACACCTGTGCCTGTACCCACACCTGTGCCTGTACCCACACCTGTGCCTGTACCCACACCTGTGCCTGTACCCACACCTGTGCCTGTACCCACACCTGTGCCTGTACCCACACCTGTGCCTGTACCCACACCTGTGCCTGTACCCACACCTGTGCCTGTACCCACACCTGTGCCTGTACCCACACCTGTGCCTGTACCCACACCTGTGCCTGTACCCACACCTGTGCCTGTACCCACACCTGTGCCTGTACCCACACCTGTGCCTGTACCCACACCTGTGCCTGTACCCACACCTGTGCCTGTACCCACACCTGTGCCTGTACCCACACCTGTGCCTGTACCCACACCTGTGCCTGTACCCACACCTGTGCCTGTACCCACACCTGTGCCTGTACCCACACCTGTGCCTGTACCCACACCTGTGCCTGTACCCACACCTGTGCCTGTACCCACACCTGTGCCTGTACCCACACCTGTGCCTGTACCCACACCTGTGCCTGTACCCACACCTGTGCCTGTACCCACACCTGTGCCTGTACCCACACCTGTGCCTGTACCCACACCTGTGCCTGTACCCACACCTGTGCCTGTACCCACACCTGGCCTGTACCCACACCTGTGCCTGTACCCACACCTGTGCCCTTACCCACACCTGTGCCGTACCCACCACCTGTGCCTGTACCCACACCTGTGCCTGTACCCACACCTGTGCCGTACCCACACCTGTGCCTGTACCCACACCTGTGCCCGTACCCACACCACACCTGTGCCTGTACCCACACCTGTGCCTGTACCCACACCTGTGCCTGTACCCACACCTGTGCCTGTACCCACACCTGTGCCTGTACCCACACCTGTGCCTGTACCCACACCTGTGCCTGTACCCACACCTGTGCCTGTACCCACACCTGTGCCTGTACCCACACCTGTGCCTGTACCCACACCTGTGCCTGTACCCACACCTGTGCCTGTACCCACACCTGTGCCTGTACCCACACCTGTGCCTGTACCCACACCTGTGCCTGTACCCACACCTGTGCCTGTACCCACACCTGTGCCTGTACCCACACCTGTGCCTGTACCCACACCTGTGCCTGTACCCACACCTGTGCCTGTACCCACACCTGTGCCTGTACCCACACCTGTGCCTGTACCCACACCTGTGCCTGTACCCACACCTGTGCCTGTACCCACACCTGTGCCTGTACCCACACCTGTGCCTGTACCCACACCTGTGCCTGTACCCACACCTGTGCCTGTACCCACACCTGTGCCTGTACCCACACCTGTGCCTGTACCCCCCTGTACCCACACCTGTGCCTGTACCCACACCTGTGCCTGTACCCACACCTGTGCCTGTACCCACACCTGTGCCATGTACCCACACCTGTGCCTGTACCACACCTGTGCCTGTACCCACACTGTGCCTGTACCCACACCTGTGCCTGTACCCACACCTGTGCCTGTACCCACACCTGTGCCTGTACCCACACCTGTGCCTGTACCCACACCTGTGCCTGTACCCACACCTGCACCTGCCCCTGCCCCTGCCCCTGCCCCTGCCCCTGCCCCTGCTGCTGCTCCTACTCCCATCCCCAGTCCAGTGGCACCAGTGGCACCAGTGGTACCAGTGGCACCAGTGGTACCAGTGGCACCAGTGGTACCAGTGGTACCAGTGGCACCAGTGGTACCAGTGGCACCAGTGGTACCAGTGGCACCAGTGGTACCAGTGGCACCAGTGGTACCAGTGGTACCAGTGGCACCAGTGGTACCAGTGGCACCAGTGGTACCAGTGGTACCAGTGGCACCAGTGGTACCAGTGGTACCAGTGGTACCAGCTGCAGCAGCTGCAGCAGCCGCACGTGCTCCCCCCAGCACAATCACCGCTTGTCCCAACCCCTGCTGCTGCTGCTGCTGCTGCTGCCCTCCGGTACCCCCTGCCCCAGTTGCAACTGCCCCAGTATTTCCTACCCCGGTCCCCCCTGCTCCTGCTACACCTGTTGTGGGAGCACCAGCAGCAGCACCAGCAGCAGCACCAGCAGCAGCAGCAGCACCAGCAGCAGTGTGGGAGGCAGCAGGCGGTGCAGCAGGGGCAGCAGGGGGACGAGCACCGTGCTTCCAGGTGGGGGATGGACGGCTGGAGAGACCCACCAGACGAGACTTCTGTTGTGGGTTGCAGGTGGATGGGAGGGGTAGGGGGTGAGTTCTGGATGGTCGAAATGGGAGGGGAGTGGAGGCTCAGAGAAAGATAAGAGACAAACACAAGCGCACCACCTGACAGACAACAGAGCAGCACCTGACAGACAGCAGAGCAGCACCTGACAGACAACAGAGCAGCACCTGACAGACAGCAGAGCAGCACCTGACAGACAGCAGAGCAGCACCTGACAGACAGCAGAGCAGCACCTGACAGATAGCAGAGCAGCACCTGACAGACAACCAAGAAGCAGCTAACTTGAAGCAGCGAGCCCAGCACCCACCTGACAGAAAACAATGTGACAGAGGGGAGAGGCAGTCCCCCCCTTGTCCCCCTCTCTGCACAGCACACACTCCCTCTCCTCCTCTTCCTCAACCACCACTGCCTTCCCCTTCCGCCTCTTCCCTCGCTTCCTCCCCCCCTCCTCCTCACCCCCCCCCATGTCCACATCCCGTCCAACTCCCAACCCCCCGTCTCCACCCTCCCTTTCTTCTCCTCCTCTTCTTCCTCTTCCTCATCCTCCTCCTCTTCCTCATCCTCCTCCTTTCCTTTGCCTTGACTCATGCTTGCTGCGAATCTTTGCTGTGCTGCCCGCATTTTTGCCTGATTGTCAAGGGCAACAAAAAGCAAGAATAAAATGGAAGGCTCGTATCGTAACAGTAAGATGCTCAAATCATTTTCAAACGCAGTAGCAAAAAAAAAAAAAAAAAAGAGGTGTAGTTGTTCCCAGCGTTACAACTCGTGCTATAGAATGGTGTTTTGAGATGTGCACTGCACGTACCAGCAGCGCTTGCTGCCTTGCCCGAGTTTTGAGTCGACTCAAAACTCGTTACAACTCGTGCTATAGAATGGTGTTTTGAGAAGTGCACAACACGTACCAGCAGCGCTTGCTGCCTCGCCCGAGTTTTGAGTCGACTCAAAACTCGTTACAACTCGTGCTATAGAATGGTGTTTTGAGAAGTGCACAACACGTACCAGCAGCGCTTGCTGCCTCGCCCGAGTTTTGAGTCGACTCAAAACTCGTTACAACTCGTGCTATAGAATGGTGTTTTGAGAAGTGCACAACACGTACCAGCAGCGCTTGCTGCCTCGCCCGAGCAAACGCCTTCTTTGCATCGGCTTCACTCAACGTCCCGCCCTCTCCCTTCTCCTCGCCACCCCCACCACCACCACCACTTCCCCTCCCACTCTCTCCAACCTCTATATCACTGCCCCCTACTCCCACACCGCCCTCAACCCCCACACCTGCTCCCCCTGCTCCTCCTGCCCTTGCTGCTGCTACCACCCCCGCTTCCCCAGTCCCTCCCCCACCCCCTGCAACCACTGCCTTCCCCTTCCCCTTATCAAACTCCTCAGGACAAAGCACCTCCAGAGCCCTCCTGCATTCGTCGCTTAGCTGAGAGAAACGCTTAAGCAGCCGCAGCACCAGAACATGCAGCTCTGCCCGCCCCTCCGCTCCCTCTCCCCTTCCTGCTCCGCCCGACCTCTCCCCAGCTGCTGTGCTTCGTCCCTCCTCGCCTTCCCTCCCCCTACCTTCATCTCCAACCCCTAATCCCATCCCATCACTACCACCACCACCAGCAGGAGCAGCAGAGCCGTGCTTCGTCCCTGCCTGCCGCTGCCAGCACCGCAGGAGACGCACGAGGAGAGCAAGCAGGGACACCGGGGCAGCGTGGGACGCGCGGGACCAGTGAGAGGAAAGTGTCGCTCCTGGCAGCAGGGCGAACAGACCTGCGGCCGTGCTGCTGCTGCCACTGCCGCTGCCGCTGCTGCTGCTGTTGTCTGGTAACCGTGCTTCGAACGGCTGGCATGCTCGGGACAGGAGGGCCGGTGGCCAGGAGTGTCTCTTCTGCACAGCTGCAGCGTCAACATGACCACGTGCATCACCAGCCACCCAGTCTGCCCCTTCCACTTCCATGCCTGAACCTGAACCCTCTTCTCCTTCCCTTCCTTCTCCTCCCTCTCTTGCTTCTCTTCCTTCACTCCAACCGCCGCTAGCATCCCCTCCCACACACCCATCCACATCCATCCGCATCCCCTCCTCCTCACCACCCTCTCTTCCCTCTCTCCTCACCTTCTCTCCCTTCTCTTCCTCGTCTCCTCCCTGCCCTCTCTGTCCTTCCCACCCATTCTTTTCCTCCCTTTCCTTCTCCTCGGCTTCCTGCCAAGCCACGCAGGTGTCAAGAGCCAATGCCAGCAGATGCAGCGCAGCATGCAGCACGATATCAGGTGCACGAGACAACCCACTCCCATTACCACTCCCACTCCCTGCACTCCCACTCCCACCACCGCCACCACCACCACCACTCCCAATGCCGGCACCGTTGCTGCCTCTGGTTTCTCGGTAGCTCATCTCCCGCCCCTCCTCATCCCACCACGCGTGCAGCACCACCGACAGCACCACGTCATGCACGCCTGCTGACGTGGCGATCTCCCGCAGGCCCATCAATGGACGGACAGGATCGCGCCACCTCGGCGTCTGCTCCACAACCGCCGATCTCTTAACCACATCCACATATCTCTCCTCTGCTCTCTGCAACTCCCTAGGCGCCCATCTTAAGCAGTACAAATCCAGCTCCCTGTAACAGTCTCTTTTAAGTAAGTACCGCCCCTGTTCCATACCCGAGGGGCGGGAATAATCCGCGACGGAGGCGAGAACAGCAGGAATGGCGGGGTTTTCGGCGAAGCGGGGGGGGAGGGACTTGACGACGCTGCTGCGGGTGGCGTTGCCGATGGCTAGGCGCTGCACTATCTCCCTCCGAAGGGCCGCGGTGGGGGGGAGGCCGGAGAAGGATCGCTCTGAGATGAGTCGGATGAGAAAGGCCATGCAGTCCTGCGCCATTGCAGGCTCGTACCTGATGTTTGGAGGGGTTGAAAGGAGGTGGGCGGGACGAAAAAGGAGAGATTGGAAAGGGGTGGGGGCAGGGTGCAAAATTTCGCCGAATTTTTCATATTTTGGGCGAAATTTTTGCTGTCGAAAACTTCCCCCCTAATTTTTTATAATTTCGGTCAGGAAAAAATATATACTTTTGGTGCAAAATTTCGTCCGAACTTTTAAGAAAATAAATACAAAAATCGTGAATAAATGAAACAAACAAAAACGATGGGTGCAAATTTTACTGGCATTATGCCTTCAAATTCAGGCAGACCTGCCATTTAGGTACCAGATCTCTGCAGATATCTGGCATTTCGCTGCCAGATCTGGACGGATCTGGCATTTCGCCACTAGATCTATCTAGGCGGATCTGCCATTTAGGCACTAGATCTCTGCATATATCTGGCATTTCGCCGCCAGGAAAATTTGGACTTTTTTTTAAGGTCTAACAAAAATTCGCCGAAATTTTCAGAATCTGCCCAAAATTTTCCACCGAAATTTTCCAAGCGATATTTTCCCTGACCGCAATTTTCCACCTTGGGTGGGGGAAGTGGATGGGGGGAGGCCGGAGAAGGATTGCTGTAGCGGCCACAACCTGGCGGACAAATGTGTCCGGAGGAGGCGAAATAGGACAGCAGTGCAGTGCAGGAGTCCTACTGCTTATTGCCAGGCAGTCCCAACAGTGAGGGAGACGTAGGAGGTCAGGTTGTAGCGCGCTACGACTGGCAGACTAATGTATCAGGTCCGGTTGTAACCCACTGCTGGAAGGAATCCCACTGCTTACTCTGATGCAGTGCTGACGGTGAGGGAAAAAATAGGAGTTGAGGCTGTAGCGCGCTACAACCTGGCGGAAATCGGTGTCAGGAAAGGCCGAGACTGGACAGCGGTGTAGAGCAGGAAGGGATCCTACTGCTCACTCACTCTGAGGCCGTCCCCACAGCGAGGGAGAAGTAGCTGGTGAGGCTGTAGCGTGCTACAACCTGGCGCACAAAGGCGTCAGGACGAGATGCAGCAAACCTACTGCTTACTCACTCTGAGGCAGGTCCAACAGCGAGCGAGAAGTATGAGGTGAGGCTGTAGCGCGCTACAACCTGGCGGACAAAGGCATCAGGTCAGGGGACCCAAGACGGGACGCCACCAGCACACTGCAGGAATCCAATTGCTGCTTACTCTGATGCAGTTTCAACAGTGAGGGAGAAGTAGCTGGTGAGGCTGTAGCGTGCTACAACCTGGCGCACAAAGGCGTCAGGAGGGGCCGAGACGGCGGTGCACTGCAGGAGAAAGAGATCCAACTCCAGACTGTCCTCGCACCTGGTGTGGGATACACACGCATGATAGCACGACGGGGCATGGCAGGGCATGGCAGGGCATGTGCGGGGAAAGAGGGGTTAGCAGGGTGAGGGGCCGAGACTGCAGTGCACTGCAGCAGAAAGCGGCACAACTCCAGGCTGACCTCGCACCTGGCATGGCATGGTATGGCGTGGCATGGGATGGGATGGAATGGGAACAGGAATCAGGGGGACTTATGACAATGGAAGACGAGGGGAGAGAGGGGTGAGGAGGGGCAGAGACAACTTTTGAGGCGCCTCAAAAGTAGGGGCAGAGACAGCGGTGCACTGCAGCAGAAAGAGGTACAACAGAGAGAGAGGCGGCAGAAACGACTGACCAGTGCACGGAGTGGTAGAGATCACAGAGAGCCACCATGGACTGCCCGTTCCTCCTCCACATGCCCGCTGATATCTGCATGGAGACAGGGAGGAAGAAGGGAGGGACGAAGCGAGCGAGGTTGTTGCAGAGCGTGTGTGTTGTGAGTCACCTCAACACACACCCGTTCCTCCTCCACATGCCTGCTGATACCTGCACAGAAACAGGTGGGGAAGGAGGGTGATGGAATGGAGGGAGAGAGACAGAAGCGTTTGAGAAGATGTGTGCTTACAGAATTTTCCAAACACACTCGTTCCTCCCTCCATAATATGCCCGCTAGTTTTGAGACATTTCTATCAAAAACGGTTGCCGTACATAACCACGTGGGAATGAATCAGTGGCAGCAGCAGCAACAGCATGAGCCTCACCTGGGGGCACAGCACGAGAAAGGATGCCATGCCATCATCCACTTTGCCTTTGCCCATGTCGCACCTGGGCGCACTGCATGGAAAGGGACACAGTGCCATGCCATCATGCCCTTCTGCCATGCCATGCCATCATCCACTTTGCCTTTGCCCATGTCTCACCTGGGCGCACAGCACTTGCACTCGCAGCCCGTGCTCAGCCACAGCTGCGAGGAAGCTTCCTCTCTGCAGCTTACTGGGCAGCAGGCGCAGCAAGCACAGCTCTGCCGCCTCCCCCATTCCACCCCCCTCCCGCTCTCTCTCCCACCGCCTCTCCTCCCTCTTATCCTGTGCAGCCCCCACCATCCCTCCCTTCCCTTCCCTCTGCTCCACGTCCCCCTGTGGGTCCCCTTGTGGGTCGGGCACGGGGCAGGAGATGTGCAGCAGGGAGTGCAGGAGGAGGGCGGGCATGCGGTGCAGAGGCAGGTGGAAAGACACCTCCTGCCGCCCCACATCGTACTCCACCACTGGCCACTCCAGAGCACTCTCAGCCCCCTCCTCAGCCCCCTCTGCATCCATGCTACAGCGTTCCCCCAAGCCTGCTGCTGCCCCTGTCCCCGCCCCTACCCCCGTCCCTACCCGCAACTCTGCCCCTGCTTCAGTCCCTTCTTCTGCCAAACCCCCCTCCCCTGGCATGCTCCCTGGCGTGTTGTTCATTAGGTCACCCGGCATGTCCCCTGGTTCAACCCTGGGGGGAGGGAACGGCAGCAGCCCTTCCAGAAGCAACAGCTGCTGCCGCCCCACCCACCAGCAGGGGCTGTTCAGGGCAGCGAGCGCACCAGCCGCAGCAGCGGAGAGAGGGGGGGCAGAGGAAGGGGGGAGCGCAGCAGAGAGAGAGGCAGCGTCTGTTGCTGCCAATGAATCTGTCTGCATGGCTGTTGGCGCTGCTTCCCCTCCTCCCTCTCCTGCCTCTACACCTGCCTCTCCTGCCTCTGCACCTGCCCCTACGTCTGCCCATCCTGCCTCTGCGCCCGCTGCTTCACCTGAGTCTGTGTGTCTTCCCTGTGCCCCATCCCCTCCTGTTGCTCGGAACCTAGACGCCCTTCTAAGCCAGTTGCTTAAAATCCCCATGTGCCCCCTCTGCGTGTGGGTCAAGTCCTCTCCCTCCTGTCTTGCATGCTCCTCCCCTCCCCGTCCCGTGCCACCAGCAGCAGCAGGAGCAGCAGCAGCAGTCCCGTCGCCGTCTCTTAAACCCACTCTACCCAGCCCTGCACCTGCCCCTACCCCAGCACCCACCCCTGCTTCCGCCCCTCCCGCACCTCCTTCCCCTCCCTCTCTTCCCAACATGTCAACCCCAAGAGCAGGCACTGCCTCTGCTCCTGCTGTGGCTAACCTCTCTTGACCCACTAGCCCTGAACCCGCTGGACTCCCCCCCCTAGAGCCCGGACTGCCTGCTCCTGCTGCTCTGCCTCCCACGGCAGCAGCTGCCGCCCCTGCTGCTGCTGCCATGCCGGATAAAAACCTCCCTGCCCTCCCCACTCCACTGCTCCCGCTGCCTCCTGCTGCCCCTCCTGCTCCTCCCCTTCCTCCTCCTGCTCCTGCTCCTCCTCCTCCTGCTTCCCCAGCATCACCTGCCATGCTTCTTCGACCACCCATTGCCCCTCCTCCTCCACCCGCCCTCTCTGCTGCAACTGCTGCAGCAGCAGCAGCTGCCTCTGAGGCAAGGCTCTTCAGTTCGTCCTGGGCCCACTTGAAGGACAGCAGAGACGCTCCTGGGGCGTGCACCAGAACGGACGACTGTAGCTGCACCTGCTGCTGCCCCTGCTGCTGCTGCTGCTGACCCTCTAGCTGCTGCTGCTGCTGCTGCTGATCCAAAGCAGAAGCAGTCAGCGAAGGAGCTGATACCCCCCTAGCCCTACCCCCACCAGCAGCTCCTCCCCCGGATCCACCTTTCCCAGACGAGCCTTCACCAGAGAGTCTACCTGTGGCAGACAGAGGGGTTAGCAGAGGCGAGGGCGGGGAAGCGGAGGGGGGAGTTGGGCGGGGCGGGTGGGAAGGGGAGGTGATTCGAGCCATTGCTGCTGCTGCACCTGGTAACAGACCCAGCTGCCCCAGCTGCCTCATGCCTCTCATTGCCGTCCCACCAACACCACCACCAGCAGCAGCACCCGCACCAGCAGCACCACCGCCAGCAGTACCAGCAGGGGCAGCAGCAGCAGCATCACCAGCAGCACCACCAGCATTCCCAGCAGCGCCAGTCGGAAACGAAGAGAATGGTGACCTGGTAAGGCCAAGCAGTCTGAGAGCCTCCACACTGCTCGCCCCGCTGCCAAACGCTGACCCCAGTGACCTCAACCCCTCCACTGCCACCCACCGCGCCAGCACCCACGCACACTCGTGCAGCAGCCGCACCAGCGCCGGAGGAACGCCGAACCTGGCCGCCACCTGCCGAACCTCGCAGGCGCGGGGCGGCAGGTATGTGTGTGTGCCTGCGTCGGTCTCTCCCCAGTCATCCACATATGCCTCTGGGTCAAAAGCCTCTGCCTTGCAGCCGGTTGCAGCATCCAGGTCAACACTACCACCCCCCCAACCCCCATCCCCAGGGATGGTCTCTCCTGCTGCTGTTGACGTACCGTCGTCGCTTCTGCCTCTGCCACTGCCACTGCCAAGCCCTAACACCGCCTGCCCTGCCTGTTTCCCTTGCTGCCCTTGTTGCCCCACTGCATGCTGGCCCGCCTGTTGCCCTGCACCCTCATCCACAAACCATCTCAAAGTCTTCCTCCTTCCAAACCCCAACCCCGGGAACCCACCCCCTTCACCCGCCTTCTCCCCTACCTTCTCTCCTCCCCCCTTCTCCCCTCCCGACCCTCCCTCCACCTGCCGAGCCTCCTTCCGAGCCTCCAGCCCAGGCACGGCGCTAGCTTCGGCGAGCAGCGGATTGACAGTCGCCAGCTGTGCTTCTAACAGGTAGGCGAAGCTCCAATCGTCAGGCTCTATTGCCACGTGGGTGGTTGTGCGCCGCACATGTGGACACATGACCTGGGCGGCCGCCAGCTGGCGCAGCCACGCGCGCAGCAGGTCCGGGCGGCGGGCGGTGACGTGGCGGGAGGAGGCGGAGTGGGAGAGGACGTAGCGAATGTCATCGGTCACTCGCCCATTGTGCACCTCCTCTCGGGATAGCTGGGGGGAGGGGGGGGGAGAGTGGGGATAGGTAAGAGAAGAGAGGAAAGCGCAGGAGGAGGCGGAGTGGGAGAGGACGTAGCGAATGTCGTCGGTCACTCGCTCATTGTGCACCTCCTCTCGGGATAACTGAGAGGGGGGGGGGGGGGGGGGGGGGGGGGTGGGGGGGGAGGGGAGGGGAGTGGGGATAGGTAAGAGAAGAGAGGAAAGCGCAGGAGGAGGCGGAGTGGGAAAGGACGTAGGGAATACCGTCGGTCACTCGCCCATTGTGCACCTCCTCTCGGGACAGCTGGGGGAGATGGGAGAAACGGGGGGGGCGGGGGATTGGGAGGCGGGAGAACGGCGAATGACGGAACAAAAGTGGGAGATAGATGCAGCGAACGTCGTCAATCACGCGACCCCTGCAGCATGCTCTGCAGGTACCCAGCAGCATGCTCTGCAGCAGGTACCCTGCACCATGCTCTGCAGCAGGTACCCAGCAGCAGGATATCCAGCAGCCGAGCCTCTTCTAAGCATTCTCAACCCAAGTGTGTCTCAGATTCTAAATGTTCTCAAGACAGACCCGCAACTCACATTGATGCGCCCATCTCGCCCCAGCGCCCCCTGCAGCATGCTCTGCAGGGTACCCAGCAGGATATCCAGCAGTCGAGCCTCCACCACAAGCCTCGGCATCTTGAGATGCTGTTCGGTCAACACCGGCACCTCGAGACCGACGAGCAACACACGCATGCCACAGACCACATCAACACAAGAACGCTCAGCGCATCAACACCCTCAGTGAGCTGATCAACAACTCACATTGATGCGCCCGTCCCGCCCCAGCACCCCCTGCAGCATGCTCTGCAGGGTACCCAGCAGGATATCCAGCAGCCGAGCCTCCACCACGAGCCTCGGCGTCAGCACCGGCACCGTAAGAATCTGCACCGAAAAGCTCTCCAGAATCGATACCCTATTCCCTGCACTCCCACTCCCCGCCGCTCCCCTCCCCCTCCGCCCTCCGCTCCCCCGCACACCCCCTCCCCCCCACCTCCCCCGGTCCTCCTCCCCGTCCCCTCTCCCGCCACTCCCCAGCACGAAGGCCGAGTAGTTAGCAACGAACGCGAGGGCGAATTGGTACTTAAAGCCCGGGTCGCCTAGGAGCTTGTAGAGAAGGCGGTGGACTACGAGCATGGAGTCCTCTTTAATACCCTCCTCGTTTGCCACCAGAGCTTCCAACAGACTGGCGGATGCAGCAGCAGCGGTGGTAGAGGGAGGTGATGCTGGGGGAGGTGACACTAAGGGAGGTGATGCTGCGGGATGTGACAATGCTGGGAAAGACGACCCTGCTGCTGGGCTGAGCAGTGAGCCTAATCCCACAGGAGCCGAAGCAGAGAGTGCATGGGAAGATCCAGGAGCAGAGACGGGACCAGTAAGGGCAGCGGCTGTAAGGGCAGAAGCAGCACTAGGAGTAATAATGGTAATGTTGGTCGGATGGAACCCCGATGGGACTGTATCAGAGCGGGCAGTAACGGGGATGGGGCATTTCCTGGTAAGCACGGACGACACGAGGTGCAGCAGCCCTTCACTGGTGCTAGCCAGTCGCAGAAACATCTCCGAGAACCTCTCAGTTGCTGCTGCTGCCTCGTTCTTCGCTGCTCGCAACCGCGCTGCTGCTGATAGCACTGCGGAGGAGGAAGAGGAGGGGGAGGAGGAGAAGGAGGAGGATCCTCTGAACCCATCGTTACCACTCATCCACCCTCCCGACCCCCCCACACCCCCTGTGAGGAACCTAGCAGCGAGCTCATACTCCTTCCCGCTGTCCCGCCTCTCCCTCCTCCCCCTCCGCCTCCCCCTCCCCCTCCGCCCCCGCTTCTCCCGCTTCCAAACCCAAACCCAGAACCCCCCCACCCTGCTGCGCCTCCACTCCGTTCCTCCTCCAGCCGGGCAGCGAAAACTATTTTCTGCTGCCATTCCGCAGCAACCGCGGCCAGCACGGGCTCTGCCCGGGCAACGAAACTTTCCGGGAGGGGCGGGGCGTGCCCAGGGCCAGGATGCTTCTTGCAAAACCCCTGGCGCTTCCAGGCCGTTGGATCGCCGCAGTCGCAGCATCCACCGCCCGTTTTGATCATCGCGTAATCGTGCCCCTCGTGGTCCCCGTCTAGAAAGCAGGGAACACATATGGCACAGGTAGGGTCATGCTCACACGTCCTGCATCTATATGCTATGTCGCTCGCCCCCCATACAGCCCCGCATACCCCGGACGCTCCTGATTGGCCGAGAGCCGCCAGTGCGGATTCCGGATCGGATCCGCATGCCGCCCAGAGAATCCAATCCACAGCGCCGGAATAAGCCTCTTTCACCATGGCTAGAGAATCCAGATCGATATTAAAGCCCACGCGACTGCCACTTAGAGCCATAACCGCTTGTACTGCTTCGTCTAAGAAAGCAGTGTCAACACCGCCCTCGTTTCCCCCTCCTGCTCCTGCTCCTCCTCCCCCTGCTCCCCCTCTTCCCCCGCCCCTTGCATCTCCGCTCTCTCTCCGCCCGTCCAGCCCTCCCCCCATGCCCTCCCCCCCCCAGCCTCTCCCCCAGTCCCGCCTGGCCTCCCGCCCCTCCCCCCATCTCCCGTCTTGGGGGGGAACGCAGAAGGTGAGGAGGGCGGAGATGATGCGGGGGGCGACGTGGGGGTGGGCGCGGAGGAGGGGGGGGAGACAGGCGGGTCCCCCTGCTATGTCCGCCGGCTGTAGCAGACGAGACTTGAGAAGCTCGCGCTGCGGAACGGGGAGAGAGGAAGAAGGAGGAAACGGGGAAATGGGATGAGTAGCGGGAGAGACAGGCGGGCGGAGAGATGCGGGTGGAGGAGAATTCTAAAAGTAAAACACTCACAACACTGCTAGAACGCATGCAGGGCTTTCAAGACGCCACGACAAGAACCATCATGGGAAGAATCCGTCAAATGGGTCGCCTATTGCTTACCACGACACTGCTAGGAAGCATGCTGGAAACCGGTGAATTCGAAATCGTCGCGATTCGAGTTTCTGATGCTGACCGAGTCTTGCTCTCGTCTCCTGAGAGGTCTCAGAAAAAACCCAATCTGTGATGCTGACCGAATCTTCCTCTCGATTTTTTTAGGCTTAGCATATGATTCCGGTTTCAGATGCTAAACTAGATTTTTACTCGCTTCCGATGGAAGGAAGTGAAATCCACGAATTTGGCGCTACAGAGAACGAGGTTCAGTGTTACCTATGCTAAAACCAGGCAAGAATCTAACCGCGCCAGTCTTGGATGAAGTCCAAGCGGCAGCGCCAAAACACGCGGGAGCACAGATATTCTGAACACGACGCGAAAATAAACCATAAACGCATGAAATGGGCTAAAGCCGGAAGTTTCTCGAAATATAGCGGTTTGAGAGCAATTTGCTAGGAACTACCTACCGGAAAGGTAAACAGAAATGCCTAAGGCTACTCGAAGATCTAAATTCGCTTGGATTTGCAAATACTCCTCGCCGGCACTAACCCGAGGACAAACTACGGGACTGGAAGCCCGATGAACAAACTTGCTGAACCTAGAAATTGCCGACGCGCCCGCCCAACAGAGCCTGTCAGCACCTCAAAACTCGGAATCGTATAGACGTACGGAACGCGTCCTCTACTCAAGTCGAGCTGCGAATACCGGGAGGCACCGCGACGAAATGAGAGATGTGCCACACAAGCTACTAGTCCATGAATCTGCTACTAATCTATCAGGATATCAGAAAACAGAGGCGCTTGGCAAAAGAGGACCCCCAATATCGACCTTTGCCGTTAGTACAGTATTCGGATAACGCCTTGTGAACTGAGCAAACGGCGGGAGTGGAATTTGTGATAACGTGGTGTCTCGTGTAAGTGACTCCTGGAAAGTATTATTTCTCTGAAGCTTATTTGTGTTCATCTACAACATTGTTTGCAGGTTAGTGTAACTTCACCTCTTACAACGCCCTGGTGTGCTGTTGGTATGTACGGTACTGTGTAGTAATAAGGTATTTTGAATTATATGCAGCGGGCGACCCACATCCCAACAAAATATATTCAAAGATCTAAGTTAAGATCTAAATGTTGGCTTGTTCTACTTGGCTCTTGCTCACCATGAGTCTGAGTAAGAACACAACCAAACAATCTGTTACCCGCATCCATCAAATTCCCCCCTTCAAGACCCTTATTTCCACTAGATGCATCAATCTCCCTCTCACCGCACCCAACATCCTCAAAACACACGCCTTGCTTTGCCACCCCAACTTCTGGGCTTTCAACATCATGACTGACAGATGAAAGAACCCGGCCAAACAACGAAGGCTGTTGTTGAGCTGGTACGGTTGCAAACGACTGGCTATGCCGTGCCTCGGTGCGAAAAGGCATATCTTGCCCCGCCTTAAAAGTGTTCCTTGGGGTTTTCCTATCCTTGCACACACTACCTCTCGTGTCCATTGAACCAGGGCTCTGAGCCTGGATCGAGTGCTGACTTGTCTCTCCAACAGCCGCTTCATGATCCTCGATATAAGCTGACTCAGTCATAGGCACAGCACGTGAACTGCGGCGAGTACACTCTGGTTCCAAGACATCATGAGGGGGGAATAGCTGGAGGCGATGTGAGAGTGCCTGATGTTCTTGTGGTCCCAGCTCAAGATACGGCGGCAGTGGCAGAGCCACCAGCTGCCGCTGCTGCTGCAGCTGTTGCTGTTGTTGCTGCTGTTGCGGCTGCTGTTGTTGCTGCTGCTGCTGCTGCTGCTGCTGCTGCTGCTGCTGCTGCTGCTGCTGTTGCGGCTGCTGCTGCTGTACAAGCCGCTTTGGCATCGCCTGGCCTTGTTCCTGTCCAAGCCACCACATATGCTGCGGCTGTGCCTGCTGCTGCTGTTGTGCCTGCGGCTGTGCCTGCTGCTGCTGTTGTGCATGCGGCTGCTGTTGTGCATGCGGCTGTGTCTGCTGCTGCTGCGGCTGCGCCTGTTGCTGTTGTTGGGCCTGCTGTTGCACCTGCTGCTGCTGTTGTGGCTGCTGTTGAGCCTGCTGCTGCTGCGGTGGCTGCGGCTGTGCCTGCTGTTCTGTATGTTGCGGTTCCTGCTGCTTTACCTGCTGCACAGCCATGCCGCTATTCTCATGCACCCCAGCTCCCCCACTCCTAGAAGTTCCCGCCAAAACGCCACCATACCACCCGCTTTTCATCCTGCAGGGTACAGAGAAGTAAGAGCACATGGAGGAGCAACAAGGAGGAGGCAGATCCAAGCTCATGGACCGAGCTGTTTCCTGAATCTCTCGCGCAAATCCCTCTGCTGTAGGCAGCTTAGCAGGAAGGCTCGCCGTGCTTGCCGCTGCTGCTGCTCCTCCGACCTTTCTCCGCCTGTGTGCGGGTGCTGATGCCGCATCAGACGGGCGATTCATGGGGCTTGCCAGAGCTACTGATGTGGCTCTCCATTGCTCTGATTGCCACGTGCTGCCACGGCTTGTGCTGCTGCTGCGAGGAAAAGGCTGGCTTTGACAGCGTTTCCTGGAGCCAGAAGCGGTGGAGTCCGGTTCTGATCCTACCCTCTTTTCCGAGAAGACCGGCTTTGGAGCAATCGGTTCAGAAAGGCGAAACCTTGAATTGTCGCGGTTCAGAGGGGCCTGGGTTGCTGGCGAGTGGCCGGGTTGAGCTGGTGACGGGAAGAGCGGCAGAAGAGAGTCGGTGTAAGGGGATTCCTCACTGGGGGGGGCACTGCGAGGCGATGACGATGGGTACGGGAACGGAGGTGGATCCATGGCTGCTGGTGTTGCCATGCCTTGCTACAAGCAGGCGGTTTGAGACAGGTTTCTCTGACTATGAGACCTCCAGGCGTCTGTTGACACTCGGACCACACTTCTGAGTATTGCTGTTGACAATGGTGTGTTGTTACTTAGTCTAAGGTGCGCTGCGCTCTCGGAGCAACTGTGGGTCTCCCGCATCAGGGCACCGAAGGCTGGTAGTACGAATAGTAGTAGTAGCTTCACGCAATCTTCGTCCAGCTCCCCAATTGGATTCAGAAGCTGAATGAACCTATTCCTGAAAACACATAATGATAAACATCGCCCTTGAGGAAGGAGATTTGTGCCCTCCAGAACTCGAGGTTGAGTGAAAGTTGGGGTTCGGTTCGGGCCCACGCCAGCTGGCAAGGCCTGGAGGGGCGAACCACAGGTGAAGGAAGGGTTTCGCAATCTCGGAGGACTTGCTAGTCCCACCGGGAGGAGTAATTTCGGGACGGCCAGATTGTGATCGTCCCTAGGAGGGCAAACTGAATTGACGCAACAGATTTTCAATCCGGCGATTCTATGTCAGTTGATACAGTTCTTAGACGGCGATTTCATGCACTTAGCCGACCGTTCCTTTCCTCCCAGCCAAGCTGGACGACCTTTCCCTTCCCAGCCAAGCTGGACGATCGGACGGATCAATGCTGTATCCGATCTTGTAACGGATCGTGAAACGAGGACGATTGTGATGACAGTACGATTCTGTATTCAACCAAGGATTGTTGAGGAAGATGAAAGCAGACTGCTTCGTGTGTGCATCGAGTAGATTTGGGCAGATATGCTTGGAAGAGTGGAGACGGTACGTCTGTACGTAACCCAGGTCCGGTGGAAAAACACGGATATGGCATCGCAGACGTTAGGGGAGTATCTGCTGCGGCGGACGCAAATCTCATCAAAATGAACACACTGGCGAACAGTGGGGCACACTGGGGCTGGCACAGGCAAAACAGCCTGCGAGTCATGCTGAAAATGCAATTGTGGGTGGTGGTGAGGTGAGTGAGGTGATGGGGAGAAGAGAAACCGTTGGTTGGCTTTGGTTCGGTCACTCTGCTCTGATTGAAAGAAGACGAGACAAAGGGTTTGCTGATGTGGCTACCACCATTCAAATTGTATCGGATAGGCCATCCAAGATTTGGCTGCTCTATAGTCCAGGACATATCCGCAGAGCAGAAATTTGGTTCTCTCGAGCTTGCATTTCTCGGCTGATGAATGAATGGAAAGGGACGGAGGGGGCTGATGGTCCTCGCCTCACCAGATAATCCAGGATCCCAAAGAGAGGGTCCAAGTAACCTATGCGGTTTGCCTAGGTTTACTACGTTTCAACGGGTTGGATATGGTGGGGTGCAACCATTGTCAATGAGCAAGGCCAACGGCGACGAAATCCAGCATGCCTGAGGACGGAGGATTCGGAGTGGGGAGGCTCAAGTCGGGACGAAATCAATTCTAGATATTCCACGATGTCTGGGCAGAGAAACTACTTCCTTGTGGGTTTCCAGCACCATTTCAGAAATTATGTAAGAGCGGGTGGAATGGTCCAGCACTAGACTTACAACAACTGTTAGGGCAGAAACCGTAATCCTTGCAAACTGAAAGATTAGATTTGCTAGGATTCTCATGAACAAAAAATTGAGTGTTGAACAGTTCACATTCTGGCCTTCCATGGAGCAATAGCTCAGTGGTAGAGCAATCGACTGTAGATCGATAGGTCCCCGATTCAAACCCGGGTTGCTCCTGGTGAACTTCATTGGTGATGAAGACTTAATAGGATTTAGTGATATAAGGAAAAATCCATTTCCTTACTTCGTGTCCCTGCTCAGCGCGTATACCACTGTTTCCCGCCAACATCACCCAACAATAACCCGTTACCACTCACGACACTCGCCTCGACACTATTCCTGCCACTGTTCACAACGCAGCCCAACCTCACGGTTCGGTTGGTAACCCGCGCTCCGGACCTCCGCCTCGACAATTCCCAACCTCGGCGCTAGGGCCGTTGCGCACCCCATTTTCCACACATTACCATTACCACTATAGTTTCGCTATATATTCTTCGCTCATTGGATTCTTGCTTCGATAGTGCAATCCTCGCTCGCTCACTCAATTGCACTCGTAACACTTGGTATTCAAAGCCTACGATCTCCTCTCGGACTGCACCCACACCTTCGCTTCCCCACTATCTCATTTTTTGGGGGGGGTAGACATCTC